ATATAAAGGGGAGGAATAATAATCTTGCAGCAAGTTTATTTACTTCATCAGCAATGAATTATACCAGGTACTTCACATAAAGTAATTATGAGCAAGAGCCAATATTTTGAGACAATTTCTTAAGCATCGGCAATGCAGTGTAATCTCAAAACTAACTGTATTGCTATCAGAAAGTTTCTCTCATAATGTATCTATTCCTCATTTACATTCACACTATGCTAGCTAACAATAAACCCAAGCCTCCATTGCTAATCTGGATTGCCAACGTGATTTCCATACAAATTCAACAGAAAATGTGCCATGGATACATAATTAATTCTTGTAATAATAATAATAAACTTCCAAGACTGCAACCAATGATACAGGTGGGAAAATAAAGCAGTGAGTGCTCCCTATCAGGCGCATTATGCAGACCAAAGAAAACAGGTACCCTGCTTGAGCAATCTTGGATATATCAACCAAACAGCAGGTAGGAAGCAGCAAGAAGTAGGCACTTGATCTACACTCTGCCAAGGGTATGGGAGGCAGGCTTGTTGTTCTTGGACAACCAATAAGTACGGCATTGTGCAAAATAGCACCATTATCTGTAAGGTGAGGACATACACATGGTACACTAACACGTCTCTACTATATACCCAACTTTTTTTCTTAGCTGCAGAAAGAGTTATCCTTCTGATGCTTTAATGTACACTACAAAGCAGCTAATTCTGCATTGAAAAAGTATTAAAAGTCATTTCAAATGTGTGGAAGCAGATCAACAGCTACAGACAAATTACTGTATCATCCAATTAGTTACTGTACAGTTATGAACTTTGTACTGTGCATGGGGATTCTCAATGGCAAAAAATAAATAAATTATAATAAAGTATATAAAACAGTAATAATAGTAGTGGTGATGATGACACTGATGAGAATGACATTGATGATAAAAATAATGAAAAAAATAAAATTATAAAAAACATATGGTGTTAACACAAAGTTGTGGTAGAATAAGCTAACTTCTGGCACAGAGATGAGAAATATGCACTCTGTTAACAATCCCCCTATAAAACAACTTCATTTGAGAGTTAAAATGCAATAAATATTTTCTTGTACTAGTATTTGTTGTTCCTTATAATAACAAATATCTACCTACAAATACAGCTTCTAATTTGCAAAACACTTAGCATACACTATCGTTGTTAAAGGATTTCATTAAATGAGGAAAATTTTTTAATATAACTAATATATGAGCAAAATGGGAGTCTGGTCTGGCTTGCCTGTAACCTCTTATTTTCAACACTGAAATAAACTTTAAGCATATCACTAGCACTGGATGCTATGCACACGCAGACAGACATATACATGCACACATGCACGCACGTACACACACACGCACGCACGTATGCACACGCACGCACACACACACACACACCTTTTCTTTTTAAATGGTGCTTGCTGTTGCTGAAGGGCCTTAAAAGGCAAGCTATGGGGTCTGGGCTAAGGGTGAGGGCAGCATTGCCATGTGGCATGCCACAGCTGTGACTACTCACATGGTGTGGCCACTGGGGTAGGTACCCACAAAATGGAATGAACCAGCATGGCACTGTGGCAGGTGAGTCAATAGGACAACATTGGGATGGTCATACAGACACTATCGTTGACACACCCAAGCTCTCTCAAAAACGTCCCATGCCTACACCTGAGTTGACGCCTCTGGCACCTGCTCTACACCTCACAGCAGTACACCATCTGCACACACCCTTTGTTCTGTTATATTTACAACAACCAAGCAGGCTGCAGCACTTACATAAATGAACAATCTGTGAGGTCTGATGCCTGTAGATAGCACTGGTGAAGTAAGTCCAGAACAGTAAGGAAAGAGTCTGAGGTAGCAGAATACTTTAAAATTACATTACACATCCCCTGAAGAGTGCCCATCAGGTGAGTGCTGGAGAAAAGGAGCCTTGGCTGCCAGAATGTCCTTGAGAATATACCGAGTATTTACTTGACGGTGAGAACCATCCCACAGTGACCACAATAGGAACTTGTCTGTGGCTGCATGCTGCCAATCTCAGCTGCCGGTCCAACCTTCACCATCTGGCCTTACACATCTCCCTCACATCCTTCCTTCCAACAACCCGTACATTTCTAAATTAACCTCACCAATGGTTAAAATCGCTAGCCAAATGAGCCAACTGATCTTTGTTTAATTTTACTATTAATTCATCTGCAAATGGATCTTTCTGAATTGTAGCATCAACCATTCCTTAAGTAATTACTCTAATTCCCAAATTACAGAGTTTCTGTAAACACATGGACAAGACTGTACAACAGGGTTTGGGTCTGGCTGTGCAACATAATTCTTTTTCTTTATTAATCAACAGTTTTCAAAGCATGAAAACGTCCATTCTATACGCTATTGGTACCAGCATAAAAGAAGCCAGAATTTCTGGGGGCTCTAATTTTTATATAAAATTTGAGCACAAGCGAGAGCCTATTCCATGCTATATCTTAAATTCATCTGAAATTTAATTTACCAAAACAAATGAAGTACTAAACATTACATAACTAATATAAAACCAATGGTAAAAATCAGGCACTTTAAAAACTGACATCTCTCATGCTGTAACCTGACATCAAAAAGTACCTGCCTAAATGTAAAACAATGTCACATACAGTATGTCGGTCCATCTAAATAGACAAATTAAATTTCTCCTAAACTAGTGTAACAAGCAAGTATAAGATAAAACCTTGCATAAAATAGGTTTAAACAGAAAACTCAGATCTAATCATACACTACAAAGAGAACTAGAACTAAACAATTCTCTTCTGTCACAAGTGGTATCCCTGACTTCCCAACACACGTGGGCCCTGTATGGAACTTACCATAGCTCGGGGGACATGACTATTAACCTATCATGCTCTCCAGGACCCTATTCATCATCCTAGCCCATTTTACCATAAAAAAAAAATAATAATATAATAAAAAAAATTATTTTAAGATAAATATGGTAAGATTGAAAGTATAAAAAAAATGTGTGTATGCATGTGTGTGTACTCAAGCATGCATATTACTGATATATATATATATATATATATATATATATATATATATATATATATATATATATATATATATATATATATATATATATATATATATATATATATATATATATATATATATATATATATACATACATACATATATGCGTGTTATGGTGATGACCAGGTGAGCACTGAGGTTTTACGCTTGTCTCTCCCGGCTGTAGGTAAGGGAAGCCGACCCCAAGTGTGACATGCCCCTATCACACTATCCACCTGTCATCTTCTATTGCTACCCTACAAAACCATTCCTGGACTATAACAGTCTGCAGCAAGAGCTGTAGGGCACTATCTGATGACAGGTGGGAAGATAAAAGTCCTATAGGGAACGTAAACCTGCTTTAACTCAAGAAATAACTCAAGAGCTTATGACTTGGGATGAATTAACCTGTAATACATAACTGAGTGCATGATGATGATATGAGAAGATGAATATTGTACATGGCATGAATTAACCTGTAATACATATCTGCGTGATTATGATACCTGTGGATGAATATTGTACGAACTTAGTTGCCTGAGATAAAGCAAGTGAGGCTCAGCCCCACTTGTACCAATGACTGTTGAACATGCTGATTTACTGATAAAAATGCCAAGGCATGAGATTCAAGGTGAAATGAAAAATTGTACCTGATGCTGACCTGACCTGACCAGTAACTGTAATGAGGTAATGAGATGAATGTGGGCCAGCACTGACAGTGACACAGTCAACTGGCTAGGAAAGGCTATGCTGCTATTTGTTACTGCCATTGTGAGGATGAAAACATGGGATGGAATGTGGCATCCATGTTGCTACTGAATGTGCTGAGTGGGGTAGTATGATGGCCATGGGAATTGAAAATACACGCACCCAATCTAGAACGCCACAACATCTTGTTACCATGAATTTTTCGCTCCTTCCAAAATACAATTTATTCCCAGTTACAAAACACCATTATCTAAACTTTTCTAGTACCACAGGAGTTGCCAGCCATGTCCAGACATAACATCCTTGGACATCAATATCTAGTAGGAATATTATAGGGGTTCTGATGGTTTTGGCACACAAGACTTTATATATATTAAAAATAACAATTTATAACAACGTGTGCAGATAAAATAAACCCTTCCTAGTATCATCTACAATATCTCGTCCAGGGAAGCTTTGTCCAGAGCCACTGTCTTATAGAGCCGCCCATCACAACCAACAGTAACAAACCCTCACTAAAATTCAACATGATATTTTTAGGTTTCTTTCTAAAACCATTAATTAATATCATAAAAATTCTTTAAATATCTTCTAGAAGCTACCCTAATTTACACTTTCTTTAGCAAAAGACATTGAAATCATTTAAATTTTCAAAAACTATCTCTCATAAAAGTATCAAGCTTATTCCCCATGTAAGAAGTTTGCAATGGCTATGAAACAGCTAACGAGCACAGACTTAGATGTCTATAGAATGTCATATTAACAATTGCATTAGTGAGAGCCCTTAAGTGTCTGCAATATAGCACATATGGCTTTACAGGAAGGCTGGAGGGGCAGTGGCTTGTGGCCCATAGGATGGTTGAGCAGACATTAACACCAACCGCTTCACGAGGCACATGACTCCTCTCCTCACACTGGGGGTCAGGCTTCCTATCCACTTCCTCCTCTACTTATCTGCAGGTGTACTCTGCTTGACCTAATATATGGTATAGCAGAACCCGGATTTTTCGCCTTTAACTAATACAGTATAGTATTCTTAATCATAACTTGTTGAAAAACAAAATTACCCAAGTCTAAAAGCTAATATATAGCAACAGCTGATATCATCAACATTGCTTCTGAACATGAAGTGATACTTTAACTCTCCTCTCTCTCTCCTCTTGTGTGTGTGTTTTGTTGGGGTCATGTGTGTGTGTGTGTGTGTGTGTGTGTGTGTGTGTGTGGTATGATATGTGTGTGTGTGTGTGGTATGATATGTGTGTGTGTGTGTGTGTGTGTGTGTGTGTGTGTGCAACATTCATATTTAATCCTAATTCCACATGGCTGAATCTTCAAAACTAAGAGCACGTATATGACTGGTATATGTACACTCCAATTTTTTCTCGACTAATATGAAAAAAAGTAGATAATCATGACTGATTCAAAAGTAAAATTACAAAATAATACAAAAAATTAATCCATCTGCCAGATACCACAATCTACCCAAAAATAATAATTAAAGAATATACCACACATCTTTACAGCATATCACTGAAACTTTTGTAAATGTGTAAATTTAATAAAACAATTTTTTTACCATAACTGAAGAAATTATTCAAATAATTTGCTTCACCAATCATAAATTGCCTCTAGTCTGGCAAGCCAATTATATTCCAGAAGGCAAAATAGGATTCTTCCCTTTCATGGCTTCAGTTGGAAGGGCTACATGCAGATCCTTTGTCTAATGAAGTGATAAAATGTCTATGTTTCTCAGGAATATGCAAGGTTAATAAGTGAATTTTCCAAAGTAGTCCCCTACTGTGTTGTTGGTACGTTTCCAAAAGTGGAGTATGATATTGTTAATAATTTACAATCGAGTGAAACTTCTCTTTTAACTAAACACGAATAATCCGAGTTCATCTGTAATAAGCTCACTTCATAGACCTGGTCCAGCATTTCACCTCAAATATTTTATGGGGAATAACTTTATATTAATGAATTTTATGCTACTACAATGGATACATACAAGAGGCATACTAATGCCTGCAAGGAACAACAAGCATGGGGGGTTCCCTAACAAGTGGTGAACATAATTTAAAAAGAAATTTAAGAAAAATAAAATAAAGCAATATCCCCCCATACACAGTCTTCTCTTGATGACAATGTGGTTTCCCTTGGGCATGTGGGAAGTGCCCACGAGTCCCCATACGTATCCAGTCTATCACATGACGGCTCCAGTCCTCACTTTTTATCATTCTTTGGCTCGTGTCCTTCACTTCACCATAACCTCAATTCAAGTTTCATATGGAAGATGATAATTTAAGCACAAGGTTACTTTTCTCACAGTCATTTCAGTTTACTTGTTTGATTCTTGGTATTCCAGCCTCTTGTCTTCAGAACTGCATGGCTAAAATATCATATTTGTTCAAAATCTCTTCTAAACATTTTCCATATATCATCCAATAAACTGGCCCCTAGGCAAGATTTTTCAATGGCCATCTAACCAAGTTCCCATGCAACAGAGAACTGCTTCCATCCACAAGCAAGAGGCAATAGTAATTAGAACATAAGCACTCATGATTTGTCATGGTGAGGTCTGGATACCATAGGTCATGATGTTGTGTACAGGCATGAGGTATTTACAATGGTGAGTGGGCAATGTTCCATAGTGTCCTCACTCTTGTTGGCTTCATCATTATACAACAGTTAACATTCATCTTGGAGATACAAGAAAAAAAGCACCATTGGTTTCACAAATAAACCACATTAAAATAATCACTAGTTCCATTTTGCTGGCGACAACTTCTGTAATGCTGCAAACAAGGCGCAAATATATACAGGATGAGGGTATGTACGTGTGTGGGGGCAAAGTGGTAACAGGGTGGTCACTGAAGGGTATCCTGAGCTGACAGTTATGGGGCAGCCCGATCGTGGCCCTCCACTGGCCTTAGGTAACACATTTTACTGGGCAGGCTCGTCATAATCCATCAGCCTATAAAGTTAACATAATACATTTTACATGAGTGGTAAAAAACACAGCATACTCCATTCTCAATGGCTACTATGGCAATTGTTTATATCCATATATGATTCACACAGAAATCTCTATTTCGTTTTACACATCCATTTCCTTAAGATCTGATTTGATTTATCCTTAATATTTCATCCATTCTTTCTTTTTCATAATGGATTAACTGCATGTAATGGCAGATGGACTGACGAACCCAAACCCATTTTTCCACACACTAGAACACTTGCCAGGGGGGCACAACCATAATTTTCCTTATGCCTGAGTTACTGAGTTGAGCTTTAAGCTGCACTATGAGCTGCAAAAATGGCTGGATGCAAAGTATGCTGATCTTAGCTCTAGAAATCAAGTCTTCTTTTTAAAGAATATTTGAGAACAAACTGTGAATACTACTATCGTGACACAGTATCCACTCCAGTTTCAATGCACAAAACCAGACACATTCAGATTAAGAAAATGCAGAACCATAAAACTGGGAGCATTCCCCAAAAGTACTTATATAGTATAATGAACCCCACCTAGCTGGTACTCAACTCAAGGAACTAACTCTGGCAGTGGGGACTCTTGGAAGGGAATTCCTGAGGTAAAACATTCCCACTGGTGGGTTTGCTTGTGCCAATTTGAAAAACAAAAATAATATTAGTCCTTCAAATAATTCAATTTTTAACATCGTTTTTGTTATCTTCTGAAATGTCTTCTATTCTTGTAGCAGATGTGAAAATTTCATCTTACTTCCTGAGCAGTTTAGCTGCTGAGAAAAACTTTCACACTCAAGTTTCTTCTTGTTTTGAATTAAGACTTATTCCAGGTTAAGGTGATGATGCCAATAAAAATGTAATACTTTATCTTCCTGTCTGGATACATTGATCAACCTCTTGCACTGATATTGTTAAATACTATTGAATATTGGCAAAAGTCACAGATGTTTGAGGAGTACCTTGGCCCCAGTGGAGTTATGAAGCCATGGAGTAAGTTCTCATGAGTTACCTTCTGTTTGGTGGCTCTTCATAGTAGTCCCAGCACTTCCCTGTTGACCCCTTTGGCACCACACTAAGCCTCCCCCCTCTCCCAACCACACAAGCCAGAAGAACAATTGGTTGGACATGTGGACTCCAAAATTCATTTTACATTTTCGCAAGTTATTAAAAAAATGCATTTTAAGCACCGCCACGGATATCAAACTATTGCACTAATTAATAACAGGAAGACATATCTGACTGACTTACACAGCCTTTCGCCCATCAGTACCAAATTTAGATGCTGAGAAAATGGAGTGCATTTTCCAAGTGAAGTCCCCTTAGCCCAAGCCTCTTAGGCCAGCTTTGCTGTAACAAGAGAAACTGTGAATGTTTAAAGTGGCTGGCTGTGGTGTGTAGCTGTTGGAGAAGGGAGGGGGTATTGAGGCAGACACACGGTACACTAGGCCCCCAACACAGCTGGTGCCTGTGGGACATGGTGGCTGGGGTCTGTCCCGCACCAGGACCCATAATAGGCGGTTACAGCACAGGTACTTGTCCAGGTACGTGGCCACCACATCATGGCCTGAAAAGCAAAAAGGTACTATTTTTAGAAAGTAATACTAAAGGAGCCTCAGGTTTACATCATACAGCATTTGCCTCCTGTCCTATGGGTCACTGGTTTGTGCCTAAGGCACCTCCAGTTGGGGAAGTGAAGATGGGCTAGTTCAGTACCAGCCATATTGCTTGTTTATGTAATGAAAGTGAAATGATGAAGTAGATGGAGAACAAATGCTACAGAAAAAATGCTTAAGTTTTGTTACACTGATATAAAAACATATAATGAAGTACTAAAACCGTTTAAAACAATTACAGATACTGGTACTCTGTACGTACTAGAAATTTGAAAGTAAAAAAATTAAATACTGTAGTTTAGCTACATAATCTGGGATGAGGGAATAATAGTTAGGATATTACTGGATAAAATTTAGGGTAGGACTGGGATGGATAAACAAAATTTAAAGTTGAATCCTAGGAGAGATGTACAAAATTTCGTAGGATTGGTCAAGGCAGCTAGGAAGTGTTTGCATTGAATGTTGTTTGCCAATCATCTAACATGAGGGTAGCACCTTGATTAAGATGTAAAATAATTGTTCTTTTGAAGAGCAAATACTGTATACCTAATTGAGTAATTGCAGTCAATAATCTTAAAGTAAATTATTAATTAAAAAAAAATAAAATAAAAATCCAGGTAAAAAAAATTGCTCACAATTTTAACAACTCTGGGAGCATTACAACTTGAGCATCAAGCAATATGCAATATGAATGGGGATGAGAACTACTGTCTGAGACTTGGACTTACCCAGAACAATGCCCCACATACCCACTTATTTGTATTTTAAACTCTTAGATTATTCTTTATGCATCAAACTTGCCTTATATGCTTGACTCCTTCTGTGGATTTGAGGTAGGGGAAAGGTGTAGGTTTTTTGAGTAAATGGCCAGCCTTTCTACAACACAGGAAGCAGAGAGGCGAGCCTCAGCATCGTGATCCCAGCACTCTTCCATTGTATCAATTAAAGCCATCATGGCCTGGAAAAAAAGGATTTATAAATACTGTCAGAATTGCAAAGCAATATATACATCACTAATCAGATGGTTAAAAGACCTTTCATCAAATCTGCAAAACAAGTAAAATCCCTTAAGTACAATAAAGCATTCTGAATGTTTTATTCATTCCAGATAGACCATACAAAGTCAACAACTGCTTACCGTATATAGTCGTGTATAATTCGACCACTGATATTTTCGGTAAAAAGCCTGATTTTTTCATGTAGTACTTTGTGCATAATTTGGCCCTAGCTTTTGAGAAACACTAGGTATAATCCTAAATATAATTTGTAGCAAGACACCAGATTCTAACCAAAAAAACAAGTGCCATCGCTGGACCCAACAGTTTCAGTGAGTAATGTGACCACTGCTTATGACTGAGCACCCATCAAAAGGCTCCATTCAAATCTTTAAATGGACAGATTTAATTTTACTTCCAATTTATCACCATAAAATTATTTCACTTTCATTCGTAGGCAACTTACTCTTCCCACAAACCCTTTGCAATTACCATTTAGATATTTTCAACTTACCGCATTCTTGCGCCAAACATCCCGGATGGCAGGGCGTGTCTTCTGGGTGACAACACATTCTTGCATATCATCCAGAGTGGGGTGCTGTCCAACCTCTTCCTCAAATGGCAAGTGGTACTCAGGTACAGGACCATCCTGGCCTGTTCAATCAAATATAACATTTCTTACTTGCAGCACATAACTGACTAATGCAGAGCTTTAACCTGACTTTGATTGTGCTCAGTGTCTCTTTAATGGTCCTCATGAAACCCTCCATCTATACATCACCAACATTTTAACTCACATCAAGCTTTTATTCCCACTCATCATTTCCCTCACATAATATATATTTTCTCTCTTACTAGACTTCAGCTCAGCAATTCCCTATATCAACCCGTCATAAGATTAACTCTCTTATGCACCATGACATAAGAGAAGTGCCAATTATAATCACATCCATTTGCCACTGACGTGAAAATCACATCATGCAAAAAAAAATCACGAAAAATCAATTAATTCCGATTGACGTTGAGATTTTGGCCCATCATTAAAAAACTGGGCAATTTCACAAATGGAGAGTAAAATATATGCAAAAGGATACTCAAATTTTTTTCAAAGCCATAATTTTCTTTTCATAATACAGTAGGCCCTTTAAATTCGTGGGGGTTAGGTTCTCAAAACGGACACGAATCGCCAATTCCTCGAATAACATTTGCTGACCAAAGGGGGGATTTTTTTTTTAATTGTGTACAAAGAAATGTATATTCCCTTAATGTGTTTGCGCTAATGACAATTATTTCTTTTACTGTACTTGTATTGTATACGTGTGTGTAGATATACAATCACAAAACACATACAAATAAATAATAATGGGAAAATCCTATCACAAATTAGCAGAAACAAATGTACATTAAAACTGTTGAATCTACCCTCAAGTCCACTTCATGCTTGGTTATTCATAAAGCATGGAGTAGACTTCAGGGTAGACTCAACATTTTTAATATACATTTGTCTCTGGTTATTTGTAAGAGGAATTTTCCATTATTATTTATTTGTATGTGTTTTGTGTGTGGTGTCTACATACAGATACTGTAAATACAATACAGGTAAAGGATATTACTGTCTCTAGAACGAATGTCTTCCTGTCCCGGCCCCAAAAATGCCGGCAACTTTAAATCTACCTCCAGACATTCTTGGGTAAATTCAGGGCGTCATCCGCGAATAATAGAGGACCGCAAAATAAAAATAATTCGCGAAGTATCAGGGCGTACTGTATCAGAAATAGCGAGAGTGCAGTGTTGCCACCCCTCAAAATACTGATTACTCTAAAATGTGATGAATTCATTATAATTGACAGTTGTTTCATAAATTATGTATATTTCTCCTGATATCACCTCCTTTCAAGCATTATGAAAATAAGACTGGTTGATTAGTCACATTTATGTATTCAGTGTTCAGACCACTTGACATCAGTCCCTCGGGAGGTCTGAGTACACAGGTTTCATTGTGATTTCAGAAGAAAGGTTACAAATGTTAATGCATGAGTTTGGAAAAACAGGCTAAGAAATAATTTATATTGAATGTGGACTAAAGGAAAATGCTGAAATTAAGCAGCCACCCAACGTGTAATAAAGCAGGAAAAAATTTAATGAGTACAAAATATGTTTGATAGCTTACTTGAACACCTAGAGAGAATTTCCCACAGCACTAGACCACAGGCATACATGTCAATTCGTAGGAAGGCATCCCGTTGGAAGTTGATTGCACCTTCCAATACTTCTGGTGCCATGTAACGCCGTGTGCCAACCTGAAAAAAAAAAATTAAATTCTGTGAACATACATAAAACCACAAAAGTTCATATGAGAACAAAGATCTAATCATTCATTCTTAATATATCTAATGAGTGTTAATGAACCTTTATGATCTTGCATTCAGTAATAAGTATTTAATGTAAATTATAGGGAGATAATACCAAGGAGTGGGATCCTGAAAACCTTAGTTGATGAACATGTACCTGTACAGTATTTCAGTAAGCTTGCAAGAAGCCCCAATATACTGGAGTAGTGTTTTAACAATTGCCTTAATATAATCAGAATCAATATTATTTGTGGAGGAATCATAACTTGTTTGCTACCATCTGTAAAATATGTGCAGTATAAATGAGTGTCTTGTAGAAATTTTTAAATAGCCCAAACTTTTTCCATTTCAGTTTAATGCCTGACAATGTACACAATCTAAATGTATACCACAACCATATATGAGGAGCACCGGACCATAACCTTCTAAGAGCCATATATCGCTGAGACGTGTTATGTATTGCATTGTATTCCCCAACCTCTCCTCTGTCCCCTGGGAAAGCCAGAGAGCCAATTGGGAACATGTACATGAGGGTGAGAGTCCTCTGAAAAGACTATTGTATGTCACATATTCCTACCTGAGTATTTTCCTCCATTTTCTATTTTGGTACTTAGCAGATTATGGTCCAGAGTTCCTCATATGTAAATTACAGGGTTGAAACACTCTAAGGCACAATTGATCTGTCTTCAATAAAGATATGATACACTGGGATGTGCACCTTAGCAATCTTGTCTCTCTTATAAAGTCTGGTGGCACTGGTATGATGTGTCATAGTCAATCACAGAGTAAATCATGGCGAACATGGCTAACAATCAAGGTTTCAGAGGTAATTACTCTGCTGACTTTCCTGTGATTAGTTGACTGAAGGCAGGAAATGGTACATGTTCTTTAATAAGATAACTCTCAGCTGACAAAGATGCATTCCTTAGTTCCACTGTGCTGAACACGCCATGTTGCTTGTTATTTCTTTAAAGACTACAGGGACTTATCATATAAGGATATAGGTATTGTGTTAATTATCTGTTTAGCTTGAGAACAGGTCATTAGCAAGCTCTGTAAGAGAATTGTGTATGACAGAGCCCAAGTACCCATTTGTAATTTTGTAAAAGAAATTTAATTAACTGTTAACTGCCTATGTGTGTGTCCTCAATTTTGCAGTAGACCTAATAAAAGAAAGCAAAGCATATAATAAGAGACTGTTCCTGAAGGAAGATAAACCCTATTCTTACAACTCATAGCTTCAAGGGATTCATATTGAACAAAAATTATAACAGTTCTGTGTAGTCCACTTTGGAGCTCAAACAGCTCCTGCTGGAGTTATTCAAGTTTTGCAAAAGACTGACCTAGGCTCCCAAGCCTTTGTATGAGGTTCTCAAGCTGATTTAACTCGTATTACAGCCTGACAAACTTGCCGAGGACTTAATGGCTTTGTTGCACTTGCAAGACTTAAGAAGTCAGACAGCAACAAAAAGTCCAGGGGCATTTACACATGTGTGAAGGAAATGCAACTCTTCAGGAACTTGGTGTATTGTACTCTTACCTGTCCATGGGTGTCACCAGCTGACTGCCCAGGGTGGAAGACCAAAGCCAAGCCAAAATCAGCAATGCAGGCAGATAGATCAGCCTTTAGCAAAACATTTTTACTTTTGAAATCTCGATGAGCAATTGAAGGCTTTAGACTCTCACACTTGGTAGCAGGCTGTTCTTCATGCACATACATCAGACCCCTTGCCATGGACTCTCCAATTTTGCAAAGATCATTCCAAGTAACCAAGTTTGCCTGAAAAGTAAACATAAATTGTAAGATGTCCAATAAATAATTCAAATACTAAAATGCAGTTATTCAGTGAAAGAATAAACAAGTTCAATGATATGAAATGAATCACCAATATATTATTCAAGATATCTACTGACCACAAAACATCACAGACCCTTTCTTCATTAATTTAAATTCTGTACTGTAACTTCAAATGCAAAGTTCTGAATGGTAAAAAATCAAGACTCTAGATGCTATGTACTCATGACAAACTGTAAGGATCGATTATTGAAAATGTGATATTCACTTTTGTAAAACTACTACAGTACAGTACTGTATTTCTTTTTTTTTGCAAATACAGCACAGTAAATATATTTCAGTTAAAACTCTGACTAAACTACCACAATAAAAAAATATTAAAAAATTGCCAATATTTTCCTGAAGTCCACATCAGTTTGTCACGATCATACATCATGACTACATCAATACGTGAAGCACTGATCATTTATAATAAACGTTTCTCATTGATTTGCCAAAGTTTAAATATATTATTAGTTGTACACCTTCCACTCTTGTTCCTTACTGCTGAAGGTTTTTACTATGTTTATGACTGTACCTGTACCAAGTGCAGTAGACCACTTGGCTAATTTTTTGCAAATGATCCTGACCTTTAATTGTGTGACGCCACAAGTATATGTATAGTCTGCCAAAGATGCATCGACCCTACCCTGGCTCTCATGCTCGTAATTTTACCTGGCAATACTTGGTGAAGTAAGGCTGTATGGAATAGGGATTGTGATTGGTAGATCTATTTTTGGCTGTATAACAGTCAGGATAAATATTAAACAATTCAAAGGTAGTTTTATAATAATAAACTATCTATTATTATTATACTGTACAGTACTATAATTTGTTCCATTGTTGAAGATGTTAAATTATTTTTGATGAATCGTACAGTATAAGAGTCTGATTATATGAGAATATATAATGATGACCATAAAAAAACCCAGGTCTAAAGACAGAGTACAAGACAGTGCCCTGATCCCACCCAGCCTCACACTTGGTCATATATGCAGCATCTTTTCTCCCATTGCTTGTGACTCCTCTGATTTTACCCATTTTCTTAAAACCCCCATCTTTCCCTGTCATAGCAATTAGTCCACATAAAAAGTTCAGCATCATTTAAAGGTTAAAGGGTAAAAAGTCTCCAAGCATCTTTAAGCTTCAACAGATTTTTTTCCTTGTAAGTCATGCAATCATTTCCACTTCCTAGCTTTTTATTAAATGGAGTGAATATTGTTGTCATCCAAACATATCTAGTACTCATTCACTAGTCCACTTCTAAAACATCAGAAATATTTAATATTTATTTTGTAGCTGACCTTCAGATAGTCGCAGAGAGACCCTCGTTCATGATAAGCAGTAATAAGCCAAAATTCTGCTTGATAATTATCTCCATGCTTTTCTGCCCCAATGAACTGCAGCACATTTTCATGGGACATCTGAGGAAGTGAGTACACTTCTTTCTCAACCAACCAAGACTGCTTGTCCTAAAAAAAAAAAAAAAAGGCAAATTAGATGTACAATTAAGATATGGTATGCAGTGACAAGTTTCATAATTTGTACATGTTTATAATACACCCACCTCTCGTTTTACACAGAGGTTACATTCTTGAAAACCACTGCTTAATTAAAAAATGCGTAAATTAAACATAATTTTCCCATAAGAATACTGTAGTACATGTAAATGGTACAGGTTAAGGGAACCATCATATACTGCACAGGGTACGAACAGTGCTCTCACTTAAACCAAGCACGTGGCCAACCTCCAACACACGCTCTCCTCTCTGAAGGCAGGTGATCACATTTAACTTCACGTCCATTGCGATTGTTTTTCGTGCCTTTTTAGCTTTAGGCGCCCCAGAGGAGGCAGATGGACATTTTCCAGACATGCCCAATGGCGAAAACAGCGTTTAACACTAAAAAGGTACGTGATAAACACACAATGCAAATGAGAGCAGAGGAAAAAATAGTGCTGGTGTGAACTGAGAAAGTGATTCGCAGCAAGCTTGCTGGACGTCATCACAGTTGTTGTGCAGAATATTTCATTATCATCATTATCTTCATCATTAGTAGTAATAATCTTTATTATTACATTATTATAATAATTATTATTATTAATTATACAGGTAATATTAAAATTGTTGATGTTGATATGATTGTGACTTTATACAGTACAGTAGTAATAACTTACAAGCACCTCACCGGGCATCACACGCGAATACGCGCAGCAAATTTAAACTGTCTTGAGCGCGTTATTTCAAAAATAGGTAAACGTAAATTAGCTTTTGGCATAAATTGAACAATCGTGTTATTCCAAAAACGCTTTAATCAAACGTGCATAAAATGCGAGTTACCTGTATATTGTAACCACATACACATCTAAACTAGAAAACATTTAACTACTCATTTTCTGAAGCTGATGTCTCTCCTACTGATGAGAAAGAGGAACTAATGTACTATGTTGCTGTTCTTAAGACAGTAAACAGATCTGGGTATACCATGACAAGAAATGTTCCTAATTATTCCTGTTAGTCCAAGATCCTTAAATGAGTAAACAGCTCTGACTGTATCATATTAGCCCTTTGATTGAGTCACCAGATTTCAATGACATTTTCCTGATGGTGTGAATGTGTCATCAAATATTCAAATTAGTAGTAATAACTCTCTTTGTTCTTCTCCAACACAGGAAGACAATAATATTCCATATCTAGCAATTACATCCCATATAAACAGTATTAGATGACTGCAAACAAATTTAAGATAGAAATTAAGAAAAATCAGAAAAAATATTTTTTCATAACAGGAGTACCTTGATACACCAGACTGTACTATGTTAGTTAACACTGATGTGCATTATACACTTACCATCCTATTACAGACTTATGTACACTCGGTAAAAAAAAAACTACCGTACAGGTGGGGTCCAATGATTTTCCAACTGAACATTCCTGTTGTCTTGCAAGGGTTGGTAGGCCTGAATGTGAGACATTTCGTTGACAATATTGAATTACTTTGTTACAATATGACTGGAGAATGTCATTATATATCTAGATAAGTTAAACTGTATGCTATATTAAATGTTCCACACACCGTGGACTACAGTAACCATGGAAGTGGATGAGATACCATATAGGAATGCATTATATGTTTGGCAGAATTAGTGGATATAGTAAAGGTAAAAGATTATTTTGCAAACGAATTTTGAATCTGTATTTGTATTGCTACTTCCAGTTTGGGCTAATGCCACATTATGTCAATCATTTTTCGTATTGGAAAATAAACCATGCTTGTCTGAAACATCTGAACAGCTCCACAGTTCATATTATAATATACACATTCCTTATGTAAGATATCAGGAAATGTTGGTAGCACTAATTAAGTAAATCACAATATTAGGCTGCTACAACGCCGCTCACAATGTGTATTCGACATGGAGAAATGAGGCATAGAGTTCCCATCAAATTTCAAATTGCGTTAGTGTGGCAGCACTAACTCTGACTCGCTTCAGAATGCCGATCACTTGTTTCGAACACGTGTGACCAAACCCACACACGCGCAGGACTACTACCGCGAGGAATGCCTCAGGAGCCTTTTTGAAACATTTAGTTTGTAGGTCAGTCTGTTTCGCGCAGAAATTGTAACGATAGTTTTTTTACTGAGCGTATCTCCCACCACTTTCACAAGAGAAAATTCATTAAGATTAAACCTGAAAACTTGTCTAGACCTGAAATATGTAAAGCACATACAGTTGAAGTTAGTAAAGAGCAATCCTTGAAGTTTCTCACCTGTACTGGGAAAATTTTGACAGCAACAACATCTGTGTGGAGATTGGCCTTCCAAACAGCACCAAATCTCCCACGTGCCTTGATTTCACGCAGTTGTATAGGTCGTACACACAATGGTGGAGAAGGAGGAACTAGTGCTGCTGATTCCACTCTTGGCAACTCCATAAAGTTGGCCTGAAGAAAGAACACATTTATTATGATGTTCAATATTTTTTGTTGTCACTCTTTAAAGCTTTCTCTGACTACAGTATAATGCAATGTGGTCCGAATCATGCAAATACATTGTGATTCTACCTAAACTCACTTTTACTACTGTAGATTTGTTCTTCTCTTCTCCTTCTACAGCATGGCTCCAGATATCTATCTGTTCTCGTCTCTTCCTTTACATAACCTATCATTACCCATCAGCAGCAAGTCCATCTCTAAAACCAGTCAACACCTTGCTCTCTGATCATTCACTCAACACAGCTTGGATTTTGTCCCCTTTACTTCTAGTACATCTTTCATCCCATCCTCCCTTCTCTCTCCTACCACCCACCTGATGTAAACACCTTTACCAACCTTTCAATTCCCTTTGTCTGAATATGTACACACTCCAAAAATGAACCAGGATCCGCTCTCTGCAATTACTGTACAGTATGACGACAGTGCAAATCTTGACGTAATACTACTTACACTGGGATCCAGTTCCTCTCTTCCCAAGTTTACTTTCCTTGTTAAATGTAATTTTCTTAGATATTATATATCTTAAACCATTCTTTCATTATATAAGTGGTGGTTCTCATACAAATAAGGCAGTGAGTATGATTTCTTATCATGTGGTATAATAAAGAAGTTTCATGAGCTCATTTCATAATGAATTTAATTCTTTACAGCAACTAATTTCGTATGAGGGTAATATAAGGTAGTACTACAGTTAACTTCTCTATTTTAACTATACCCTGGTATGTGATATAAAGGATATACAGTATCATATTTGTTCCACAATATTTCACAAAATCAGAAATACCAACCCTACCAAATGAGCATGACTTCAGCCCCGTTAATCCTTTTGAGGCCATCAGACCAGGGGTGAAGATCCTTTTTTTGCTGATTAGACTCAAATTACATTAGTTTACATGAGGATGGGTTAAACCACTACAGGTTTTATCAATGCTGCTTCACATATTTCCCTTATATTATTCTTCCTAAAAGCTCCCTCAATATCTATATGTTCTCTGGTATCTCAGCTTCATTTACTCATCCTGATGAAGAGTAAAGTACCTGTCTTGCAATCCCTCATTCATCCACCACTATTCCATATTGACTACTGTTTCAGAAAAAAAGTCATCTTGCTTTCTTTTGATCTAAATTCGATTTTATTTTCACTGACATAGTAGCTTCTTCATGTGTTTTAAATATTTTAGAAAATTCTAATGTGCTGTATACAGTACTGTATAGTCATAGAAACACAAACATCATCCCTACTGTACTGTACATGTACTCCCATATTACATTCAAACATCTCTAAACAATGCCAATTACCCTTACATATGTAGTGACGGTACTTTGGAGAAACTCATAACAAAAAACAATTAACACACTAGAGCTATAATTTCCCAATGCTTTAACTGACAAATTATTTCACAACTTTCATTTCATTCCTGTGATATACTTTTTCTCTGAATAAGCATGTCAAGTATAAACCTCATTCTAATTTCTTCATTCAGATACATTTCACCAAATCATCATTAAAATATGAGAAATTTTTTTGCAATTTACTTACCATTTTTCGTCGACGGTAGAGGTAGAAGAGCAAGGTAACGATGACCACAACACAGATAAGTGTGCCCAATGTCCAAGCAACGGTTTTGACAACAACATCTTGGTCTTGAGGTGTGGCTGTTGGCCATATTGACAAGATTAATTTGGACAGACAAATCATTTTTATGAGGTGGATATACTGTATATACAGTACAGTAGACTCGCAACTTACGCCAATTTTTCTTACGTGGTTTCAACTATACGTGAATTACCCCGGGGGTTAGGTGATGGGTTTGAAGACATGGTCGAGCAGGAAATTGAGGAGTTAATTGAAGGGCACAGGAAAACTCTGACTGATGCTGCGTTGGAGGAAATAGTGAGAGTGGACGAAGAAGGCGGCAGTGGCGATGATGATGAAGAACAAGAAGAGCCAGCATGTTGGGATTTACACTTGAAAAACTTAGTGTCTGAGTATGACCCCTATATGAAGCGCAGCACCAACTTCTCACGAGGTCTTACAAGCATTATGGCTAAGTATAAGAATATGTTCCAGCAGCTTAAGAAACAACAAAGACAGTTTCCCATCACCATGTTCTTTAAGAAAACCTCAGCATCAACATCGTCAGCAGATCAGCCAATACCTACAACTTCTGGCAGTGACCTTGAGCTGCCCACATCCTCCCCTGCATCGTTATCTGAGCTTGACGATGAATAATTTCAAAACAACACATGTCTGTCTACAGAATGTCTGTGTTCTATTAATGCTGTTTAGCACTTGTTACAGATGTTGATATTACATTACAGTAGTGATTTATGAGTTCTAGTGTATATATAGTGATTTAAGAGCAATTTAGGGAATTTTTAGGAGTGTTTCTGACTTTATGCGGGGTCCCAGGAATGTAACCCCCGCGTAAGTTGCGAGTCTACTGTACAGTGTAAACTGAAGCAATATCTGTAACTGATCTTATACTATTCCATGCACCAATTTAAGATGTACAATGAAAGACAAAAGTCATGTCGTGAAATTTGGTGAAAACATATGCCGAAGGGCTAAAGTTTTGGTGTGCTCTGCCTTGTGGTAGGGGGCTCTCATATGTTTAACGAGTTATGTTTAATCTTCAGACAAAACCGCGACAAGACATTTGTCTTTGATTGTACATGTGATATCAAAGTGTGGAAATGCAATATAAATTCTTACACAGTGTACAGTATTGGACTGTCAAGATGGACTGCTTGACCCCTTCTGGCAACCCCAGAGTGGGGTAAATGCAATAACAATACAGTGCCTGTACAGGCCAGTAATGGAACAAGGATTCCCTGAATTGTTATCTGGTGATTTATAAATTTTCAAATCAGAGTTTGTACTGAATGTGAATGACTAAAGGTTGCACTTCTGTAAGAACTTGAGTAAAAACAAGGGAAGTTAATTTGTTCCCCAAATCCTGCTTTGCTTTCAAAATGTACTGACTTGAATTTATCGAGACCTTACCAGTAATCATGTTAAGAAAAACTGTATTACAGGTACAGTATTAAACTAAAGTAGACTAGAAAACCAGACAAGATTAAAATATGTCAACAAAATCAATTATAATTCTCACTTGGTGTGGTACTAGGGACTTCTGGCAGTGGCCGCCAAAAGAAGTTATGGTTGCAGTTGTTGTGATTGCAGCAACAAAATAAGTGTTTTTTGTTTTCTGTCAAGCTACTTGCTGGCTGGTCGTTGATGCATTCATCTGAACAGGTATTATCATTCAACCAGCAACCTTTGTATGTAATCTCCACCTGTAACAATTAAAAATATGTGATGTACTCTATTACTTTAGGTTATTTATACCTTTTTACACACTGAAATTCTGTCTACCTTAAGTTCTTCAGTATCATCTAACAAATCCTCTTTTTTCACAATTCCTAATTTCCCTCTCTACACATACTGTACTGTACTGCTCCACTTGTTAATCAGAGTATATGCATTGACCATTGCTTACAATTATGTGTAACAAAACACAAAATTACCTACCTTGCCCGAGTTATTAGTCCAAACAACAAAACACTGGTTTATCTTCTCTGGGTTATTCCATACTTCACAAGTCTCCGTCATCTTCCCTGAGCAAAGAAGTGGCTGGGGACCCTCGTTTGAACATTGTGTAGTGTTGTATTGTTCACAATGGGAAACTTTGGGTGGATGATTTTCTGCTGGCCGTGCAACACCCTCTGTAAAAATTAATACATTAATACTCTCTTAAAATTCGTAGCCAATTAAACCTCAAACGTAAAATTATTTCAGACAAGTTTAAAGTACTTGTTGCAGTTTAACATGCCATTATCCCCATTTGTTGGGCGATACACGAATGTTATAAATACTGTACTACAGGTATGTACATAACATACAGGAGACCACTGGTCTTCACAGGGATTATATTCCTGAGATCATCGTGAATGGTGAAACAACAAATACAGTAAATCCTCCAACTATGTTGTGAATGTACTCCTACAAAACATGACAATTGGCAAAACAAGATAAATTTATATGTATTTTCCCCCAAAGACTTATTATATAAATGGGGGATACATTCCTGGGAGGTGCATATTTTTCGCCATACTTGCCAGAAAAAAAATAAAAATTAAAAACTACCTAAAGATACAGTATTGTAGCATACAGTACACTCATACTAAAATATTAGCATATTTAAAATTTGCAGTTTCAAATATTTGTGAAACAATAAAATATTCATAATCTGAAAGGTCTTATGGGTTGTTTAAAACTGCGGGCACCAATACAACCAACAAAATACAGTACGTACTGTATTGTGCATTACTCCGCCAGCTTCCCACACTATCATCAAAGTTTAAAGTTGGTCTTCTCTTATACTATAAACAGTATTATGCATAATTTCTTTACATGAACATATATTTATTTATTGTGTAAATAATGTCACAGTAAGTATAGCTCATTAAATTGCATTCAATTAGCTTATGTTTTCTTCATTAATATTAATTATTTCAATACCTTTCATTATTTATTTCTACTAATTTACACTTTTATACACAAATCATGTACAGTATACAGTATGTTTACTGCACAATGCATTATATCTTACATAAAGGCTAATTTCTGTATTTTTCAATATCTATTTACAGTACTGCAGTAACACATACAGATGCTATTTAAAGGGATATATATGAAAAGGAGCACTGTATTTAATTCACTTTTTATTTATTGCATATAAATACAGTACTGTACATGTAAGCGCACTGCATAAACAGAGGCTAATTACTTTACAATAAAGACATTTGCGGACTTTTAGATACGCAGCCATTTCTACAAGATATCCCCCACGAATATTCAAGGATGAGCGTACGCATATATGAAAGAAAATTATGGTTACGTACAAAATATGGGGTTATCAAGTTGTATGAAAAATTTTATTGTCTTTATAATATACAAGATAATTATATTTCAACATTTTGTTTAATGTGTACTCTGAGATGGTTAAGGAATGGATGGTCTCCAGTAATAGGTGCAACTTTAGCCTGTCACTTGACAATTTTGTCACCAAACTTACTGAAAATTATTTATGTTCTTTACTGTACATCAATTTTCAGTATTGCAGTAATCCCTCGCCAACAGCATTTTTGGGTATCCATTTCTTATATTTTGTACATTGCATTATCAACCACAGTATCCAGTTTTGAGCATCTGCAGTTTCCAGGGGATTTTTAGCCAAGTATCTTGGGAATATTCGCTGTATCAGGTCTATCAGGTGGTTCATCTTGTTCCCTTCATCATATTGTAAATTATCTGTCAACTGAAAACTTTAGGACCAAGAGGTTTCCATAATAATGATAATAATGTCCAAAGAAAATATGTAATAAACCATAGTACGATACTTGTGTTAGTTTGATTATACTGTACAGGGTATCATTACTTTCTGCAATTACCTGTACACTAACTTCATTATTCTCTTAAATTCTCAATGTTATCATATCTACAAATAAGCTTTCAATGTGTCATCATTCACCTACAATTACCATACCGTATACGTACTGTATAAGTACTGTACTGTAAATTATTCCTCAAACTCACATGAAGACAAGTAGACTTGTCACTCAAACCACCACACAGTCACTGAGCCGGTTGCCCGATTGTTCAATTTCTCCTTATTTACTCTTATAATTCTGTATATGAAAAATGAATGAAAAATAAAATTATTCTATTTTCCTAAATTTCATATTTAGTAGGCTCAAATCAATAGAATTGATTATTATATAAAACAGATTTTCTGTTGACAGATACTTTACTGTCTATGTTCCTCAAACAAGAGACCTAATAGTTGTTGCCATTCAGTGATGACCCCCCCCCCCCCCCAAAAAAACAAGGATTCATTCAGCTGATCGCCACCATCCACGCTATGACGCATTTATCCCTCTCTTCATTTTTACTTCGTTTTTACCATTGTTTAGAAATGGTATGGAAGTTATAATATCAAGATATGCTTTGTAAATGTGTGCTATTTATCATAATGCATAAATAAAGATACAATATGATAATATACGACACACCTGACATTTATTTGGAAGTTGATAGTATGCGGCTGCATAGTGTACAGTACATATATATCTGGACAATCACTTTAGAGGATATGAAAGATACCATAAAGATATATAGGCATGAACCTTTGACCTCTCTTATTCTTAGTGTGTGTGTGTGTGTGTGTGTGTGTGTGTGTGTGTGTGTGTGTGTGTGTGTGTGTGTGTGTGTGTGTGTGTGTGTGTGTGTGTGTGTGTGTGTGTGTGTGTGTGTGTGTGTGTGTGTGTGTGTGTGTGTGTGTGTGTGTGTGTGTGTGTGTGTGTGTGTGTGTGTGTGTGTGTGTGTGTGTCTAGTAAAAGAAATTGTTTGTCATTGATACTTTTGAAAATAAAACAATATGAAGTCCCACACTTTTTGTGGTTGACCCTGTATAATGGCTGTCTATGGGTAAAAGTGTTTCTTTATACGTAATTTTGAGATGAGTACAACTTCTCAGGAAATCACATATTTTGTAAAAAGAAGGACAGCATCTGCATTATTGGCAAAGCAGCAAACACCAGCACCCATATAGCCCTTGAATTACCAGACAAGCTCAAGGCTATTATCAAGCAAGGAAATTACCCTTCCCAGTAAAACTTCAATGAGAACTAGACAGGCCTTTTTGAAATACACGTCATCATGGGCTTTCATCACCAGAAAAGAATGGCGTGTATCAGGGTTCAAGGCAACCAAAGACCACCTTATGATTCTGATGGGTGGTTACATACAGTGGAGTATTTTGAGCTAAAACACATGTTTATCCACCAAGCAGAAGTATCGCCCCCCCAAGATATGAAAAAGTTTTCTAAGGAGCACCTGTCTGTCATCTCAAAGGTAAACAAAAAGACCTTGGATGAAAATTGACATCTTCCAGTAATGAGTTCATGTCAAGATTTTGGCCAGGTGTGAAGCATTACTGTGAGGAAAATGGCTTAGAGCCCAGAGAGTTTCTGCTGTTCGACAATGCCCCAGATCACCCAGAAAACCTTGATACCCTCTGGACTTCACTACCTGTGGAAGTGGCATACGTGCCACCAAGCATGACTTCCCTTCCTCAGGCTATGGAGTGGGGAAACATTGTCAACTTCATGGCTTACATTCCTAAGGCTGGTCGTGGCATTAGATCATCATGATGAGCAGTTAATTAGGGACTTCTGTCCTACATCATGAAAGCCACCAGAAACATCGGTGCAGCATGGGTAGAAGTCACGAGCAATTGTAAGAATATCATAAGGAGTAAGTGAACAACTTCATTATTCAAGCAGGTGTTGAAGGCAAATACTAGTGACATTGCCCACTAGGCCAATGAAGTAGGACTGAACAGTCATTATGAACAATGTGGAGAAGCCACTGAGATCTCATGGGAACAACTTTACCAACGAAGAATTACAGGAGCTGGAACAACATCCTGCTGAGAAGGCTGTAGAAACTATTGCATGTCACTCCGTCTGAATAAACCTCACCACAGCAATCTTGAATAAGGGAATCACTAAGATGGTGGAGAGCTTGGAGCTCTTCATTGAGAATGATCCAGACTAGGACCACAGCAGCTCAGTGAAGAGAAATGTGCTCCATGAAATCTTTACTACTGAGAAATGCTCCAGGAGAAGAAGCAACAGGCAAGGTAGTTAATCCTGAATGCCTCCTTCAATATTAAAAAAAACCTGCAGTTTCACCAGAGAATAAGCCACAACCTGGCCCATCTTATCAAGAGTAGCTGCTCCCACCTCTTCACCTGTTGGAGGAGTTGGAGCATAGTCGGAGTGACAGCAGTTAGAAGTCAATATTATACAAGCTCCGACTGAATGCACAGATGAGTACAGTGGGGTATGCTATAACGAATCTAATTGGTTCTAGAACCTTGTTCGTTATAGCAATCGTTTGTTATAGGATTAATCCGTTGCTGGCCCCCAAATACAACCACTTAACACTGAAAAATATAATATAAAATTGTAAAAATTGTAAAAAAGTGCATAAATATGCATCTAAACCCCCGAAATAAAGAATATCATTAATATTTGTAATAATAAAACAATAAATTAGAAAAAAAAAAAAATATTAAATTATGTTCGTTGTAGGAGTTTCGTTCGTTATAGCATTCTCAATTTTATAGGTAAAACCGTTCGTTATAGGAATATTCGTAGTAGGATCCGTTCGTTATAGCATACCCCACTGTATATATATTTTGTTTCCTTAAATCAATTTGCTCTAAGGATTGCTGGTTCAATTGGAAGGCACTCCAATATCATAAACTTTACAAAATCAGAGAGGTGAAGGTGGCCAAGTGTAGTCATTAAACTTTAAAAATTAGTAAAAAAAAGTTTTCAAGATAATTGCGTTAATTTCTGTGCATCATATATGATTGCATGATCTTGTGAGGGAAGCTTCCAGAAAGAACAAAAATGTGTGTGAAGTTCTACTGTCCATCAGTTTCCTCCCATCAGCAGTGCTGGTAGTTTGTGTTTGTCCCTTTATCTCCCCCCCCCCCACCTCTCTATTACTTCTACAAAAATGCCAAAGTCACCGTTGGAAGCTTCATAAAAATACACTTCAATAACTACTGTATTTATATAAGACCTTGGTAGGTTTGTGAGAAAATATCCGAGGTACGACGCTGGGAAAAAAAAATATTCGGAGTGACAAAAATATGGTCTTATTATGATCTTAAGGTTTTTCTGCTTATCTTAAAGCCAAAACTATAATGAAGCCAGTGATGTATAAATCATGCAAAACAATAAAAAATAAAAAATCTTGTGGGATAAATTGGCTGCAGAACATGTATAACCAGGCCTCACAGCAGTGGTCTCCTATGACTTTTGTTGTGATCACAAAATTTACAAACTTATTGCATGCACGAGAGGGTTAACAAATGTTGTCCTCATATATAAATCACACATGAAATAATACTGTCAGCAATGCCTCTCCATATAAACTATGTTACACTGACCCCAATTTGCAATGATCCAATTAGTGCTTGATGATGATGATGATGGTAGTGGTGGTGGTGGCAGCAGTGGTGAGGCAAATGTTTCAGCTTCTACACCATCATCCTCCCAGTAACTCCATCTACCACCATCCTGCCTCACCATCACCCTAAGCACCGACCACTAAAGTTTCACGGAAGTTGAATATATATTCTAATATGGATTAAATAAACTTGATGTTGTACTGTACTACTGAACTCAGAAGTATTGTTTCTCAACAAGAGAAATTGCTTGAAAATGTGTATTTTTATTTTATTTTATTTATTTTTTATATTAAGAACATAATTACAGGTATCTCCCTTTGTATAATGGTAGTCAATGGTAAAAATGGCTTCGATTTACACAAGGTTTTTCAGGAAAGTATCCCCTTTCTAAGTCAAAGCACTCCTGTACTATACATATTCAGCAGAGAAAACTATTAAAGGGGTGAATGATTGTCCCTTGCATTTTCAATTACAGTTTACCCCCTTGTACATAAATACGGTATGTTTGCTATTGTCGTACCTTACATTTATATTTACCATGTAGGATTTCAAGGGTGGAGGGCACTTTGAAAATTCTAAATCTAAGAGGGTAAAGTAAAATTTAAAATGGTGGTGTGGGGGGGGTAGGGAGCATATGCCCAAACATGGATGCTTCCCCTCCCATTAAAAGGATGACTAACAAGTATGCAGCACTTTCTCATTGCGCACTAATTAGCATTAATAGAAGTCTACACCTTTTGCATAAAGTCAAAGATGGAGTCTCCTGAGAACATCCAGACACTTCACATAACTGAGTGAAAATATATCACTGTGACAGACCCTAAGCTTCTTTAGACCCGTTACTTGGTAATTACAAATATATCACAGTCTATTACAATAGCTATAGGGAGTAGCAATACTTTCAGAAGTAGTCCTCTCTATTGTCTATGCTAGGGAAAAGATAATTTAATTGTCAAGGAGTTGCCTACTGCAGTGAGTTCCTAAACTGCTTATTAATATCAATATCATCACTCTTGACCTTAGTTATAATGTGATTCAGTTAGAACTGTACACAAGAAATGAAAGGGTGCTTTTCAAGTTTGGTAGATTTACGTAGTTAACCCTAAAGTCTTTTAGTGGAAGATTCATGCATTGTTTTGTAACAAATACTTCAAATATATTAATCACCTACAGTAGGGTATGAGCAGAAGGAGCAATTTGCAGAGCTTACTTTGTTAAAACAGGTAGCTAGCAACTGGATATACAGCATCCACATTTCTCTCTCTTCATGATTGAGTTTAGCTCATTAGTGTAAACCCCCATAGCTACATATAAGGTAAAAACAAGATTCCTCTTAGACAAATCTCATCTGAACATCCCTGAGTGTTACCCCACTACACACTAAACTGTTCCTGTTTATGCCAATAACTTAAAACTTAATATTGTGGCACCTTTCTGTCCATCTGCTTAGACCAAATAACAAATAATTTCCAAGTGTCAAATGTCAAGTGTCTTCCTGGCATCAAGGATTTCAACTACTGAACTGTAGTTATAGCCATGACCCTCACCCTCTTTTTCGTAACAAATGCAGAATTAAGATTAAAATCTAAATAAAGAAATACATAATTAAATAAAATAAAAGTCTTACCTGCTACCAGAGCAGAGATGATGGGAAGTCCAGCCAAAGTAAGCAGGCACATCATAATGCGTGAGAGTCGAGTTACTGCTGTGCTACCAGCCATTGCACAGCTGGCCCACCACGCTTTGCCTCCACTTCACCAGGCCTAAAAACTTGCTCTTATGGCCCTTCGAACTGATATCTTGTCAGGCCTGGCATACGTGACAGGTAGAGCTTACAAAACTAATTACATCTGTCCAACTAAATGGATCCCTGTCATGTCCATTTTCTATATAAAGAATAATTTTTCAAGCATCTCATCAAGGACTTGGTCACGTTAACTCTCAACAAGGACTTTTTCTATTTGAGTTCACTGCCACAAAGTATGCACACACAGTTCCAAATATCCTACTCAAATTGGCATTCATGTAGGATACCGTTATTGAGCACTAACACACCTGAAGTGAATACGTTTCAGTATTTCAACATAACACCTGAAAATAGAAGAATAAATATGACAATGATGAAAAATACAAGGTTTAAAACCCAGATATAATACCAGTATTAAGATAGGCAATGTGCCAAATGAATAAGACTTATAAATAAAAAATCAAATAGAAATACTGCAGATATGAAGGCCTGAGGCACAAAATCCCATTTTACGAATAAGGAGAGAAACAAACAAGTAACCTATGAGACATGTTACTGACAGGCAACCCCTGGTCAGAGTCTGTCAGTGTCATGAAAGTAAACAATGTTTGACAGTAAGGGGGCATTACCCTGATGAATCTGCAAATCCATTGTTTGTCTCAGGGACCAATGAAGAGACTTGCTGGAACCTAAACTCTACAGAGCATTCATTCAACCATATGCGTGATTAAACCTCAATGCCTCAGTTCTCTGTTGGTTTTAGGACAGCTCTCAAAGGAGGATGGAGGGAATCTAAGGCATTTGTTTGTTGCCTTATAAGCATTCTTCTGTTTCTCTTTTAATATTTTGCAGTGTCTTGTATGCCTACATCCATACCCATTTCATCAGTAACTTATACAGAATACAGTACAATATTAGCATGAAGTACCCATACCCGATATACAGTATATATATATATATATATATATATATATATATATATATATATATATATATATATATATATATATATATATATATATATATATATATATATATATATATATATATATATATATATATATATATATATATATATATATATATATATATATATCATGTAGATCACAATGAAAACGTGGATAAGATAAATCTTGATAAAATCACACGGGAAAAGGGAAACAACGGAGCACCTTAACTTTCGTCTTTATTCAAGACATCTTCAGAGGCAACTGGATTACATGGACAGAGAGAGGCTTAAATATACAGGGTGACCTTAAAAACATGAGGTCAGGTCATAATGATGTCATCCACTAATCCCCAGACCAACACACACGTAGAGGAGCTTCAGAGAAGGGGGGTGACATGACTAGTCAGGTCAGGTAAAAAATAAGGGACCCACTAAATAACTATCATACATCTAGATCAAAGGTTTTCAAAGCACTTTTAACCTTGGGCCACGGACAAATAAATTTATGTAACATATTATCAGTTTTGAACTGACCATCACTAAGGTTTATTGATTTTAATTCCTTAATCACACTAGCTTCAACCAGAAGTCTTTCTGTGACACAAGATGATTTAAATACTTCTAATGGGATGATTATTATTTAAATCATCTCGTGTCACAGAAAGACTTCTGGTTGAATATATATATATATATCCACAAGGAAAGAAGAAAACACTAAGTTCCCAAGCGCTTTCGTGTGATTCACATCTTCAGGGGCGAGTACAGACTAAGGAGAAGTACAAAACAAGGTGTATATTTTACTACCTTCAGCAGTCTGGTTTAGATATGTAGATGATGTATTATGTCTCTGGCCAAGTAATGAGGACCTAAAAGCTTTCCTGCCACAACTTAATAACTTAGCCCCCTCGATCAAATTCACTGTAGAATTAGAGCATGACAGTAAATTGCCATTCCTGGACTGTCTGATACACAGAATAGGTAACACCTTTCAGTTCAGTATTTATAGAAAACCTACTAATGTGTGCTCATACATTCATTATTATTCTGCCCACCATAATAAAGTCAAACAGTCAGTATTTTCAACAATGTTTTTACGTGCTTTGAGAATTTGCAGCCCGGAATTCATTGATGAGGAATATAAATATATCTATAATATTGGCTCAAACCTTAAATACTCTAGATTTTCATAGACAAATGTCTGAACATTACTTAGAAATCTTTTTATAGAACTGATCCCAAGCCCACCCATGACCATAAGAATCTCTTAGTATTACCATTTCACAAAAATTTCTCTCAAATTCCTTTACAACTAAAAACCTGGAACGTCAATGTGGCATTTAAAAACCCATGCACTGTTAAACAAATGTTAATCAAGAACTCCCCCAACAACACAATTGGTTGCATTTATAAAGTTCCTTGCAAGGAATGTAATATGTTTTATTTAGGCCAGACAGGTAAAGATCTTGTAACTAGACTTAAACAACATAAATATAGTGTTAGGAAATGCCAGGAATCCAATGCTCTGTTTGTTCATTTGAGGGATAATAAGCATTGCATTGACTGGGATAATGCCTCCTCAATATTAGCTTGTAATTCAATTGACAGTAGGAACATTATAGAATCTAGTCTCATTAAACATAACGAAGCAGTCAACATGAATTTGAGTAATGGCATGTACAAACTGGGCAATTGTGTAATTAAGAAGATTTGTAACCAGGTGAGAAGGTTGGGTCACCTTACCCTCTGACCTGACTACTGACCATCGCGGTGCTTTTTAAAGATTAGTAGGGTCATTACCTAATACCTGACCATTGTGGACCTGATCTCACCCTCCTCTGTATATATACAGCTTGTTTTGTACTTCTCCTTAGTGAGTACTCACCCCTGAAGATGTGAATTGCACGAAAGCGCTTGGGAACTTCGTGTTTTCTTCTTTCCTTGTGGTTATCAGCATATACCTGGATCACGTGCAACTACAGTGATTTACTTGTGTGTGTATATATATATATATATATATATATAAAATTCACCAGGGGAAAACTTTCACTACAAGGAACATGATGACAACAGAGGGATCATATACAATGAACTAAATTTACTTGTTTCACAACACACATTGCAATCCATTTATTCCCAATAGCAAATAGCCTACAAAATTCAGTCATTCCGTTCACTAGTATAATCTTTTCAAGATCATATCAAATGTAATTTTATGCTCATTGAAATGAATGAAATTCAAAATTTTGTTGACAAGGGCATTTAAGGTGACTGACTGCAGCCTACTACCACACTCTGTATGTTGCCAATTTCTATTGTATTTTTCAGCAGAGAAATTTCAATTTTTTTTCACTTTTTTGCAACGAAACATTTACCAACTCCTAGTCAATTCCAAGTTGATGGCCAAAATTAACTTCACTCAATCCACTTAAATTCAATATAACAATGAATGATTCTACATCAATACTGTAGTTATTTTACATTTCTAAGAAGCTTCCCATTTAACTCATCAAATTGCCCATATATTACCAGCAGTGTGGAAGTATGATTTCTGATGGAAGCACACCTTGCCAATACTGTTTGGGCTTACTGTACATCTCAGATAAACCAATACTGTATAGTACACTATACCAGTACTGTATACTGTACTGGAACCCAAAAGCTCCTCCCATACAATGTCTCTACAACCATGCTAATTAAAGAAATCAAAACTTGCACTCACTATCCTTTAAGTGTTTCATAAAACTTCAAATGAGTCGGTCTTCACTGTTTCATCCCCTTCCCCTAAGTACAGTATATAATACTGCACCATACTAAAGTAGTGGAATACATCATGACGTCAATAAAAAGTACAATTATTGTGATAGGTATATAAGTGGGGAATTTTCATGCATTTCAGTCAGAAATCCAAGGTTTTTCCTCATGTAAACAAATATAAACAATATCTCACTTGTCACTCTCTAAAGCTGACTGGTGTAACTTGAAGTCTCCATGCACCTGGTATGTCTCGCCTCTCACTGCCCTCCACCCTGCTAAAACGTAGTAAATCTCAGCTCTTATCTTATAATTTCATATAAAAAAAAAATGTTCAAGACATGAAGGTTTACACCCAAATTTTTCCAAGAAAAAATCCAAATGTCACATAAAATTCTGATTATTTTTAGACAAACCTACAGGTACAGTACATGTACAGTACAGTATCTGAAAACTAAATATTAAGAAATACTATTTATGCACCAATAGAAGTTGTAATTTCCATATACTTGTGCAGTACAAGTATTTCCATATATTTTAAGGAACTAACTGTACAGTCTACCTTTATTACTTGATCCATTACATATCAGTGAATGGGTCATTATCTGGAGAAAGTTCCGGTCACTAAATATTTTATGAAATTATCAGTGAGATGGTCTACTATGGTATTAACTTACTTTGACCATTCATATTGACTAAGTTCAGATATGACAGGGTGTATTATTAAGATGGAAGTGGAAGGCAGTGGCGGACTGGGTAAAAAAATATATACGGGAAAACTTGTAAAAGGGCCCACTCAAAAGGGTCCAAAAGGGCCCACTTAATCCCAAAATGTAGTCAAAGGAATCAAATAAAAGTAAAGGTTTTAAGGATTTGGTCCCATTAGGGCGGATTGAGTTAACATCTCATAAACCTCATATCTCTTTTTTCTTTTTTCCGTCATTTCCAAAGTGATGGACCATCACTTTGGGGCCCACCGGGAAATTTCCAGGAATCCCAGTGGGCCAGTCCGCCACTGGTGGAGGGTGTGGGTAAAAGCTAAGGATAATAGAAATCAACATTTCCTGAAGAAGTACCTTCTTCACGAGGTTTGTCCACGTGTGTCACTCAATTCTAACAACTGAGGAAGCACTACAAGAAATGTAAATTTATGAGAATATATTGCAACACCATCATATCTCCACGCATATAACACAGACTGAGCAGAAAAGCAGCAGAATCTTGCTATAAACTCAGCTCACACTGACTCAGATCAAGGCAATATTGCCATTCTCTTTTTTTGTGTGCTGTAATCACTATTTAATTATTAATTCTCATACATTTTCTACATTATTAACTCAGGCTGGCATAGCACCAAGTCAATTCTTGAATGGTGAACGATAAACTGTTTTCATTAATGCAGTACATAATATACTATACTTATCAATACTGTACAGTATAAATCATTTAATTCTGTACAACACTTAACTTCTGCAGGATTATTTAATGTTTTCATAAATGTAAACCATTTCACTTAATGTACCTTTTATTCGGTGAAATTGACTTTTGATGGTCGATATGTAAGCTTGAACTTTGGTAAGCTAAGATAGCAAAATTAATAAAGATGTCATTGTATAAATGGGTACAGTAAATGAATAAAGGAATTTATTCACATTTCACAGGTACAGCTACGTCAGACACCTTAACACACACAACTCTACGTAAAATTAAGTAAATCCTAGATTTAGGTCTGGAGTTCAAGAGAGAAGCAGTTGGCTCATCAATGCATGGGTGTTGACTTCCTAAGCCTTGTTTATCAATTATTACAAAGACATCTATATTTCTAGTGATTTATTGAAAGGAGTTCAAGTAGTAGCCTAATATACCTGAACAGTATTTCAAGTGGTGGTCCTTTAATATTCACTGTATTGTACTGACTTTTTAATGTCAAAATATGGATTTCAACATATTAAACATGGCATGATAGTGAAAATTTATATTAATGAAATAAAGCATAATGAATAAGGTATAAATTAAACATTCTCTGATTTCTGAGTAAATTTGAAATTGGTAGCTACACTATGTGAAGTGAATGTGCTTTTATCCTCAATGTGCTGTTGTTACAAAAACGATATTAACTGAATTATGACATTTCTTATGCTTTAAGACAACTGCTTTGCTCCCAAGATTTCATGAATATTTGAGGTCAGGAGTCATGAACGAGGAGCTGATAAACATAAGCATGGCATAAAAGGAAAAAAAAATCCCATTGTGGTTGTCCTCCCAGGCTATTTTGGGTAATACAGTGAACCCTCACTTTACGCGGTTAATTCAACCCAAGGCGGCCCGCGTAAAGTGAGAAACGCGTAAAGTGAACAACATAACATATGGGATTAATTGAAATAGAGACCGGGCTGACCCCCAAACTCCACTTTTTCAGACACAATACCTACGTTGTAGTAAAAATAACTTCTTAATTTTATGATGGTATGCACACACAATTAATAATTAAGAGAAATATCAATAATATTAGGATTTTTAACACTTACATTAGTAGAAAAGATGGCTGGGCACACGGGGATGGGGGGTTGGTTCCAAGGCAGAGGGCAGATTTTTGGCCCTCAACTGTATCAATTGTATCACTATCCACCACAGAGGCTTGCAGGGCCTCTTTGTCAAACCCCTCAAAGTCCATATAAGTCCATATCCTCACTATAATTATCACTATCACTGACTTGGGCCGGCTGTGGTGGGTGGCGGGTGAAGAACTCGGTAATGTTTTGATGACTGGGCGACCTTGTGCGCACCCTGCTCGCGCCGCTCTCCGCGTAAAGGGGTACACGCACCGCGGAATGTGAGCATTCCGGTTTCGGCAGGATACCGCGTAAAGCGAGGGTTGACTGTAATTAAGGACGACAATGCCATGTTTGCAAGTAATTGTTGAGAAGTATTTTGCAGCAACTGACTGACCCCAAACACTCAGCAACAAAACGATTCCCAGCCAGCTAATGGCTGAAAGACCATCCATCCTTTCCATAAAAACCTACCAAACCAAACATAACCAAAGCTAAAGCAATAAAGTAATACTTAACGAGAGTAGCCCAGCCTTAGCATCAACTTGAGGAAATTTCTTCAAAGAAGGTACAGTGCCTTCTTACGATGAAAAAATGACAAAAGGTACACCCTGTTGCTAATGTAATGTAACCTTCCCCCCCCCCCAATAGTGATAGGATGGTTAATCTCTAGGACAGGTGAAATAAGCTGAGGTGGAGTTGCTTCAGGTGATCCATTTTTTTATGTTCAAAATCAGCAGAGGAAGAGTGCATATGCAATGCTGCATAAGGGAGTGCCCACACACCCAAATATAATTGTCCACACCCATTACACACATGTTCTCAAAGGAAGGCATAGAGATTTAATCTTGTATTGATAACTCCTGTCAAACGTAACTGTTACACAAATAGTCATGCCAACTGTCTTCTCTCTTCCAAATAACAATCCAATTTAACCCAAGTAGTTTACAAAGGGGATATAAAAAGGCCAATGGCCATTTTATAATTTATTTAACTGAATGGCTGATAATTAAACCTTAACAATGTTTTCAAACCCTAAACTAACCCAAAACCAGGGTCCACCCAATATAATTTTCATGATGTTTTACTATGACACAGAAGGGATTTACTTAGCTACTGAAACATCACTGCCAATCACATAAGAGACACCTACACTGAACAAAACTGATTTTTCAATACAAGTAGTGCTCCAAAACTAGAGTGCCAGTGGGAAATCACCTAGTGACTGTCCTGACCAATCGCCCGGCAAAATGTAACATCCGACAAAAATACAATATTACACCCAGTCACAACACTGTACTGCAATGAGCTGTACACCCACTAAAAAATTATTCAGCACCCGTGTCATATTGTATCAAGCCGTAAGGGTGCCGAAGAATGTTTTATTGGGTGTACAACTAATTGGCACACATCGGGATGGCCTCTCTGAATGGTCTGTACTGTACATGGTGAGTGTACACCACCATGTTTAGTGTGTAGGAATACTTCTTTAACCCTTTCACCGTGTGTCATGCACTTGCCATTCTATACTGGCTACCGCAAGACGATTTTATTCAGCTTAGGGTAACCTCCCGCTGTGAAAGGGTCAAGAGAAAGGAACTTTCTTTTATTTTAGAAAGATAAAAGAGTGCATAACTGTAGTATAGTGTACTGGTACTATAAGCTAGGTTAGAGTATGTTTGACAGGCTAGTTTTCTTCATTTTATGAACTATAAATTATAGAATGTATGGTGGTATCTCCAAAATAGAATGAAGGGATTTATTTTATTTTAGGAGAATAAAAGAGAAATCATCTATTATTTTAGGTTTGGTTAGTTTTCTTCATTTTATGAATGATAAATTACACAGAATGTAGCTGTATTGTACCTAAAAAAAATCTACGAAATGAACCAACAATCAACTGCATAAAGTAAATATAGCAGACAGAGGCAACTCCTCCAAAGATGCAAAAAAAATCATAAAAGTGGAAATACACAAACATATTTTGTATTTTTTGTCAGTTTCTTAAAGTAAAATAACTTTTACCTTCTATGAAGAAATTTCTTCAAGTTGATGGTAAGGCCTGTATAATAATTCCAGTACAATACAATCACATCCAAGGATAGGTAGGTTTTATTGGTTTACTTTATCTATGACATTTCATGATACCATAATGTACTGTACTGTATACCGGAAATAACAAAAATATTCCCTGTAAGTCTTCATGTTATGGAAAAGACAATGAAGACGGTGACCCTGTTGCTGCTGGGAAAACATTCGTATCACCAAACTAATAAAATAAAATAAAAAATTGCAATTCATACATCTGTTTCTACACTACTAGTGCTGTGGGGGAATATTATTATTATTCTTAACTCAAGACAACAATATATCCTAATCTATACAAGAAATCACTTAAGTTGCTGCTGTTGTTTCTTAGCGAGTATGAAACGGAATTGCGTTTTAATTAATGTTATGATATATTCGGACTCCTCTTCCAGCTTAAGTACACAAAAATGGCATCATCGTACTCGTGCAGGAAGGAACCAGCATTTTTATTTACAAGAAAAATTAGGGACAAATTTATAATATGAAAAGTGCTATTCCTCCACCTGATTTGTATTATTTATAAAAAGTTTTCCTTTATAAATATTTTTCATTACCCGGCAGGTACCAGCAGCTGGTTACCTGGACCCTTGACCTTCAATATCACCCATTTTGTGCTAATCTTGAACACAAGTACTTTTCTTCTATAAGGAAAGGAGAAATTCCAAAGGTTAAGTGGTTCTGATCACCTTCATAATTACATTTTCAAGTAAAAAATAATCCATAAACACAATTTCATAAACAATTAGTTGAGTGGCATTAGTTCTTAAGTTTCCTAAAAGGAAGTGGCTACTTAGCCGGGAATTCCCAGCCCAGCAAACAAGCCTAACCTATGCCTCTAGTCTGCCCAGCCGGGAAATCCCGGCTAAGTAGCCACTTCCTTCCTAAAAACAAGTACTGTACAGTACTACACATACAGCACCAGTAATTAAGAACCTGTTAACAAAACCCGTGGAATCAACAGACATAACACGCAACATCTCTTGCACAGCCTCTATAAATTTTAAAATTTTTCCTTGAGGAATGATTAAACATAATTTATTAAGAAAACTGGTTGTGGTCATCAACACTAAACAAACTGGAACATAAATATATGGGTTTTTTTAAGTTTCCACATGGCATGCAGTGGCCATAGTTGTTTGTGAATGACAAGGGAGACCACACTATTAAACAATTTATGGATGACAACCTAAACAAAAATTATATAATAAATCATTCGGTTAAATTAAATTAGTTTGTTTCATGTCATGTTTCATAAATTCTGTACAGCTGAAATCCCAAAGATCTATAAATGTCAGCAAGTGACTTCATGCTCTATTGCAGTTATTAATGTAAATATTTACATTGATTCTATGCATTACAAATTTTGGAAAACATTTCTAATGTCATGTACTAGCTTCACTATTACTTAAGGTGACACCCATACTATACTTTTATTAAATGTGCCAGTTGCAGATCACATACAGCTAAAATTCGATAACCACAACATCATGCATTAAGATTGAACAAGCACGCATCTTAATGTGACCAACTTTGTCAGATTATGATTTCAATCAAGATAAGACATTCTAGGAGAATGATGTAGATTCACTTGCAACGGGTTAACATAGTACTATAACATCACTTAAAACTTAATATAATGGATTAACGATAACGAGCGTGATGACAAAGGGGTCCTGGAGCAGCTATGTGTATGGCCACACACCCTCATCCCTGCCTACACCTCACAACACCTCATCAACCTACACTCATTTAACACCTTAACCCACCTATACCTTATAAATACAGACAAGTTTAACTCTCTAACATATATATAAATGATTCAAGTTTAATACCAAAGGTGTTGTTACATTTTTTCAAGTCTTTCAATGGATAAATTTGGGTTAATAATTAGAGGCGCGGGTCAACCACTGACAGTCCTTTCTGTATCAAAACATTTACTCGTCAACTTGTAAAGGGCTTTTCCTGTCGAGCCATTAAATATCAACATACACAACTATCACAGGTCTCATCACAATATTATATCAGATCTATATTCTCACACTTACAACATAACTACACGTGATACCTCTCATAAGAAGGAGTATTTCACTAACACATCCCAATCTGTTAGGGAAATCCAATATGGCGTGTGTTTTTACGAGACATAATCCACTATTCCACTCCCTGTAAGTCATCTAAAAACCTTCGCCCGGAGGAGTATTATCGTATATGTTTTTAAATTAAGCATAACTTATAGGTAATAATCATTTATAAAATTGACTTATATTTTATTTACGTAATTTTTTCCTCTTGATGATAAATAAAAATTGGGTGGGTGTTTTTAGGTGCCGTCGCCTCAGAGAGAATCAACGTATTGGAAACTTGGGAAAAAGGTCGGATAGGCTTAGGAGAATAATAACAAAATAATAAGATTTCATTATATTTGCCATATTTATTACATTGGTCAACTGACTAAGTATTACAAAATTATATGAGAAAACTGTTTTATTATATGGATAAACAGGCATGAGGTTCCAAGTCGGCTGAACAAACAAATACATGATTGTGAACCATTGATAAATGTTGACATACTTCTAGATTCATATTGTATTTACTTTCACTTTATATCCTAACATGAAAACAAAGATTTCTTCACGAAAGAGAGTGCAAATAATGTGTGTTATCCAAATGCTTAATAAACGCTGAAGCATATCACGTGTATTATGTCCAGAAAATCCCGAGAAAAGTTAGTGTAGGCAACAGTCCCGCACGTACGCAGTTTGAGGAGGAGCGACGAGTTGCCCGACTCATTCATTACCAATTCAAATCAAAATCAAAATACCTCTTCTAGGAAAATATCATAAATTTACGCAGTCCTTTGATATATGACCATAAATTGCGTTATAATTTACAAATAACACGTATTCAATTATAAGTGATCTTTAGTTGCATATACCGTTTATATATATATCATGTAGATCCAAGACTGACTCATACGTTTCCAATTCAAATATAAATAAAATTATTCTCAGTGCAAAATATTAAAAATGTGTAAAATCAATAAATATCCAATACGTTAAGAATTGTTAAAAGTGAGGTGTTATTTTGTAATACATTACAAACCCTTAAATTAAAATAACTAGAGCAATCTATTTGTATGTATGTGTGTCTGTGTATATATATCCCTTGTGTAGATATGTGATGCCAAGTGTATATATTATTATTATAAAACTACAAAGCTTGAATAGGACAATGGGATAACTTATTGCTCAACACTGTACATCTCTCAGTATACGCACATCATAAATCTTTTGTTACCTCACTAAGATATACTGTCATTATGTTCTCCGAATATACTAAGGACAGCCAAATTTATGTCGGCACTTATAAACACTGCACTTATCAAGAACATACGAACAAAAATTTATATGATTGCCTAGTTTATACTACACATACGGCAAGGGACAACTTTATTTTAGTTTATAAGCGCCTAAAAGGGTTTACTTGAGTTCAATCAAGGATAGTCCTTGAGTTAATGTAGTACTTACCTGAGTTAACGGATGGCCACCCGAGGTCACAGCCTGAAGTTTAATAAACTATCAGCACAAAGAACTGTCAGGGCTAACTTCTTTGGGGTAAGTTCTGTGAACTCTTGGAATAGCCTGCCAGAGTATGTTGTAACAACACCAAGTGTAAGCTCCTTCAAGTCCAGGCTTGACCAACACTGGGACATTTTCTGGTTACTACGTTCAAGTACCTACTTGCCAAGAGTGAGTAACAGACAACTGACCGACCACCCGACTGGCTGTAGTAACCTGACAAGCAGTGAAGAGGATAGTGATAAGATATAAATCGCCTGCATCGGCCAACAAATTCGAATGAAACATTATCACCATGTAAACAGAGGAAAATATAAAACATTGATTTGGGTAAGTAAAATCGCCCATACTTAAAAAACAAAAGAAAATTCCTTCATAGTAAACTGCCACAACTGATCATAAGGTTTTTCAGGTCTCGTCAAATATCTTCAATGAATCCTTGATATGTTTTTACACGTATACAATAAAGTGCGTGTTCCTATGCAACATTGAGTTCTTGTTGGTTTATAGTAAAACAACAAGTGTAGTGGAAGGGGAACGCGAGGGAATGGCGTTCCCTCGCATTTTTTTAAAGGGAACGGCATTCCCCCACTTTTTACCTCTTCGACAGCTTGGTACTATCAAACAATTTTGTTTGAAAATGCGTAAGTTCTGCTCTATTCTTCAGTGACCGGTGAGGAAGCGTCAACCTGTGGGGCAGAGACATTGTAGGCTACAGCTGCTAGCTAGATAGATACAGTAGTGACACACTGTGGGTCAGAACAGAGATATACAGGCTACAGCATCTAGCTAGATAGTAGATACAATCATACAGACCGCAAATTTGGCAGATGGAATCTTCAGGTTTTGTAGAATTGTTAAAAGGTCTACGGAAACTATACACCGCATTCGGCAACTCCATATACAGTACCTATACCTATAGTTTTATTGATTTACACAATATTATTTATACAATACAGTATAGCTACAATGTATCACACTATCTAGCTAGCAGATGTAGCCTCTATATATCTTTTTAGGCCACAGTGTCATTACTGTATCTAGCTAGCAGTTGAAACTGTCCTAGTGTGGATAGAAGACTTTTTACATGACTGCAAGCAGTGTGTGGTGATTAATGGTACGAAATTATCATCTGTACTCGTCACAAGCGGGGTACCACAGGGCAGTGTATTGGGCCCGCTGTTGTTGGTTTGATTCTTAAATGACACGCCTGACGTACACTCTCCTCCATACAAATGTTTGCCGATGACGCCAAGTTATTTCGGGAAATCAAGAACCAAGCGGACTATGAATAACTGCAGAAGGACCTCTGTGAGCTTCAAGAATGGTCGAAGAAATGGCTGCTGAGATGATGTCACGAAGTGTAAGAGGGTGCACCTGGGGCGTACCAACGGTAAGGAGGCGTATCATATGTCCCAACTGGATGAAGAAACTGCACTATTTGAGACTGAATGTGAGAAGGACCTAGTTGTGTATGTTGACAATGAGCTGAAGTTCTCGGGACATTGCAAGAAGAAGGTAAATCAGGCAAATAAATTATTAGGTCTTATAAGAAGGTCGTTCAGATATCTAGACGGTCCGTCCCTCGTAACGATCTTCAAGAGTGAAGTGCTTCCCCATCTGGAGTACTGTCACCCCGTCTGGTCCCCGAGATATACTAGGGACTGTCAGTTGGTTGAAAATGTTCAAAGAAGGGCCACCAGAGTGGTGCCTGCACTTCGGCACCTCAACTACCCTGAGAGATTGGAGCGCCTGAACTTGCCTAGCTTATACTACAGACGGGCAAGGGGCGACCTAACTGAGGTGTATAAGCATCTCAAAGGGCACTACTCAGTCGAAAGTCCTTACTTGGAGCTGGCGGACGCTCGCCCCACAAGGGGTCACAGCTCAAGATTGAAGAAGCCGCAGGTCCAGAAAACTATGAGGGCAAACTTTTTCGGAGTGAGAGTTGTGAACTCTTGGAACAATCTACCAGAAAGTGTTGTGACGGCACCGAGTGTGAGCTCTTTTAAGACCAGACTTGACCAACACTGGAGCAGGTTCAGGTACATTCAGGAGCCGGTGCATGCCCAGTACTTGCCAACAGTGCGTAACAGAGACGTAACCGATCGCCCAAGCGGTTAACGAGCCGATCAGTGGTGAAGAGGATAAAAGTAAAGTAATGTCTTTGTACTGACCCTCAGTGTGTCACTACTGTATCTAGCTAGCAGCTGTAGCCTGTATGTCTCTAGCCGACAGGTTGACGCCTCCTCACCGGACATGGGAAGGGGGTTGGGAAGGATCTGCATCGAAAATTTGAGAGGAAATTACGTATTAAATTTTTTTTCGAAAGTGCCAAGCTGTCAAGAGGTAATGTCGAAAAAAAAGTGAGGGAACGCCGTTCCCCGTATTCCCCCTCCACTACACCACTGGCTATTATTAATGATTAGGCCATTATAAAGGTAGAAATACAGCTTTGGAGTATTTTTCTGAGCATGCGTAGTAGAAACCATCACCATGTGGTCATCTATCGCAGGAAATTGATCCTCCGCTGGAATTTCCTGCAGGCGACCTCATGAGGACATTATAAAATCATCGAAATATTTCCTCCCGGATAATCTAATACTGGAGAAAAACGTATCAAGATTTATATATATTGTATTTGAGTAAAGCGAATCGTTAAGAACAGTAATGCACTGTGTATAAAATTGTCATCGGGTTAAATGGATTTATATTATCATTTACAACAATTAAAAATTTCTACTGAGACTAATGAAAAATGAATATGTAGCCATGTATAACTGTACCGTACCATTTAAAGAGAATAAACAGCTGACTGCGTTTGAGCTCTGTGGAGTCTGTGGTAGTAAACAACAGTCCATTACGGTACTCGCGTCACTGCGGTGTGGTAACCAACAGTGCAGCTCTCTTGAAGACACGGTGAAGCAGCTAAAGACCGAATTGAAACATCAGAACTACAGAGTCAATTTAGGTAACCCAGTTTAACTGTGCAGAAAAGAAGAGGAGAACAGCAGTTATTCTGTTACTAACTTTTTCTCCAAAGCATATAAAACTGGAGAAATAGCCTAAGGACTGGTTAGACACGTGTACTACCCTGATAGTACTGTAACAAGAAATGGCAGCAAACCGTGTTGTTATAGCATCAGCTGTGCGGACACCTGTTGGTAAGTTTATCCTCAGATTTATTAATATTTGATTCTTAAAGTTTTAGATTCGTTAACAGAGAAGTATCATAGACTGTGAGTCAAGTATCCGACACCTATGGATTAGGATCTATTTCTAACGATTAGGTTAGGCTGGGACCCACTTGACACAACTGCCAGAGTTGGCACTCATATGCCCAACCTTGGTTGTAATGGAGGATTTTACCCTGGGTGACTGTATGAATAAATTTTTTTTTATTTTGCATAATTTAATTGTTCTAATCAAAACTTTTGTGCTTCATTCATTTCCGATCCTCATTTTGGTAAATACTGTATATGGTATTGACCATACATGAAACTCGTTATGGTAATACAGTACTGGAGCAGATGGCTAACACCAGAAGGACTTTTTATTTTAAGTTCAGTAGTTTCTTTTTTCTTTTTCTTTTTTTAGTTCTATATCTACGATCATAAATCATCTGTAGTGGGCAGGATGTGAAGGATTGGGGTGAAAACTGATCATATGACACTAAAATGATGTCTACACGTGCTTTGTACCTTAAAGAATTAATTACAGTATTTACAATAAATATTCAGCCGAAAAATCTGCCTTGTCGGCGTGTATTGCTTGCTTTTTGTTTATGCTCAGACTGAGTGACCCGCTCAGTCTGAATGTACTCTCACTGCCACAAAAAAAAAAAACTAAATTATTCCATGCTTCTTCAAGAAAGTTGCTTTTATTGGTACCAGATATCAAAGTACTGTACTGTGAGTACTTTCTGTTTAGTATAGTGGAGGTCTGTCCCTTGGCTAGGAAGTTAAGCAAGGTTAGGTATGATTCTTTGGTTGGTTAGGTTAGGTTCTATTAGGTTCTATGCATTGTTGTATCATTATTACTATCATCGAAAGAACATCTTTGGAAAAATTAATAAAATCGAGCAAAGTGGTCTGGTGTCAGCGATCTGCTCCAGGATTACTCTCAATATTGATTTGTATATAGGGAGGTAGAGCCCCTCCCCCCAAAAAATACTTTGCAGTACTCTATAGTGCTTTTTTGTGAAATTTTTATTTTACTTTTTTATTACTTTACAATTTCACTTAAAAAACTAAATTTTGATCACACAAAGTGGGCAGGGCTTTGAAGGACAGTAGAGGAAAATTGTGGGGTAAAAACACTGAAAAACTAAGGAAATCTAACCTACAGTAGTACAGAAAATTTTTAAAGGCTTAGAAGTTAAAAACAGGTGCCCAAGTTAAGGAGCCAAGTTAGGAAACTTTTCATTAGAAGAAAAGGGCTTCAGTTTGTCAATAATATCCCCAAAATAGTGGAGGAAATAAATTGAATTTATGTATGGTCAGTGGTTATTTGTCTGGTTAGTAACATTTTGTTATTTCTTCTGTATGCCTGGCATTCCTTCTGATAACCTAATCTTGTTTGCAAGTTACAGAATGAAAACCAGACAATTACTGTACTGTAGCGGAAGTAAGTAGAGGTCCGTGACTGGATAAATAACCGTTTCATTTTGTTTGTCTTAGGCTAGAAGTACACGAAACTTTTGATTCTTCTGTCGCGACGGAGTACACTTGTCTCGTGAGGGGGTAAAGACGTTGTCTGCATCCCTGGAGCGTGAAATTGTCACTCCGAAGGGGGGGGTTTCGCCAGTAGAGAGGGGTCGGGGAAAATGGGAGTCAAAAAACAAGCAGGTCCTGGGAAGTAGTGAAACAGAAGTAGATAATGCTGAAAATATAGTTAGTCATAATAACAAACATCAAAGTAATAAATGTAAAACAGATAGAAACGGAAGAAACATATTGAGTGTTTATTATACTAATAGTAGAAGCCTGTGTAACAAAATGGACCAGCTCAGGGCCATTGTTAGTAAAGAGAACATAGATATAATTGCAATAACGGAAACATGGATAAATTCAAACAGCAAGCATTTTTTAGCAGAATTTCATATTCCAGGATATAACCTGTTTAAATTTGACAGAGTGGGAAGGAGAGGTGGCGGTGTAGCAGTGTATATCAGGGTGTCATTAAAAAGCTGCAATAAATCAAACATTAAAACAAATAGCGACAATGAAAGTATTTGGGTAGAGATTGGTGAGGGCAGTGAATCCGTAGTCATTGGTGTTATATATAGACCACCTAATTTGAGTAGGAACGATGGTAAATTGCTATGGGAGGAAATAAAGAAGGCATCTGATAGAAACAATGTATGTATTCTAGGCGATTTCAACTTTTCAGGCATAGATTGGAAAAATCAACTTAGCGATAGTGAATCTGAAGATTTTCTAGAAGTAGTACAGGATAGTTTTTTATATCAATTCATAAACTCGCCCACTAGAGGAAATAATATCCTCGATTTAGTTCTCAGTAATAATGAAAATTTAGTAAAAGATGTTGGGATTGGAGATGAACTAGGAAACAGTGATCATAAAGCCATATATTTTAACATAATATGGGATGGCAGGAAGAAGGAAAATTCGGCCTTGATCCCGGATTTTAGGAAGGCTAATTACGGTAGCATAAGGAGAGACCTAAGGGATGACCCTATGGTCAAAAGATTAATCCCCCACACCTCCGGAAACTGTCAACTTAGGACGGGATAACCCCGAATTTAATTTAGCAGCTACTTATGAACAATTTATTGCGACAATCAATAATGCCCAAAATAAACACATCCCTAAAAGAAAATTCAGATCGATCGGAACCAACCAAAATGGATGAATAATAGACTCTTAGATCTTCTAGGGAAAAAGAAAGGAGTATATAGAAAAGTTAAGAAAGGCGAAAATTACTTACTTGGTTACTATCAGAACCTAACAAGACAGGTAAAAACAGAAATTAGGAAAGCAAAGAGAAATTATGAAATCAAGGTAGCAAACAAATCGAAAAATAACCCCAAAGCTTTTTATCAACTGTATAAATCAAAGGTTAGAGATACAATAGGTCCCCTTAAAACTACGACAGGAGAAATGACTGATGATGAGTTAGAAATGTGTAGTACGTTAAATAGTCATTTTCGCTCCGTATTCACAAATGAAAACCTAGCACAGTTTCCAGAAGTTCATAAGGTATATAACGACAGTATAGAAAATATGTTGATGAATATCAATATTACTAGTAATGATGTGCTTAAAGTAATTAACAAACTGAAGCCTCATAAATCGCCTGGTCCAGACGAGGTATATGCTAGAATATTAAAAGAATGTAGAGATGAGTTGAGTAATCCATTAGCAGTTTTATTTAATAAGTCATTAGAATCGGGCCTAGTGCCAGAAGCTTGGAAATTTGCAAATGTAGTTCCGATTTTCAAAAAGGGTGATAAATCAATAGCATCAAATTACCGTCCCATTAGTCTCACTTCAATCATAGGCAAGTTGCTAGAGTCAATTATTGCTACAAAAATCAGAAGCCACCTTGAAACATTCAACTTAATTCATTCTTCTCAGCACGGGTTCACCCAGGGACGTTCTTGTCTCACAAATTTGCTTAGCTTTTTCTCAGAAGTATTTGAAGCGGTAGATAATGATAAGTCATATGATATAATTTATTTAGATTTCAGTAAAGCATTCGATAGAGTCCCTCATGAGAGATTGATAAGGAAGGTAGAAGCACATGGAATAGGTGGATCAGTATTAAAATGGATTAGGTCATGGTTAACTGGTAGGAAACAAAGAGTCAGCATAAATGGATTAAAGTCAGACTGGGTGCGGTCAAAAGCGGAGTTCCCCAGGGATCTGTATTAGGCCCTCTGCTGTTTGTTATATTCATTAATGATCTTGATTTAGGCATAACTAGTAGGATTAGTAAATTTGCAGATGATACCAAAATGGGGAGAGTGATAAATTCAGACAGTGACTTTGAACACCTTCAAAGAGATCTAGATACCTTACATGAGTGGTCAGTAGACTGGCAAATGAATTTTAATACTGATAAATGCAAGGTACTACAGATAGGAAGACGAATACAAGCGTTAAGTATAAACTAGGTAACACGGAAATAGAAAACTCAGTTTGTGAAAAAGATCTAGGTGTATTTGTTAGCAACGACTTGAAACCTAGAAAACAATGTATTAGCGTTCGCAACAAGGCAAACAGGATTCTTGGGTTCATATCTAGGTCTGTGAGTAACAGAACTGCTGACATTATCTTGAAACTTTACCTAGCATTAGTGAGGCCACACATGGATTATGCGGTTCAGTTCTGGTGTCCTTATTATAGAATGCACATAGATTCTTTGGAGAGAGTACAAAGAAGAATGACAAAAATGATCCATAATATTAGAAACCTTCCATATGAAGAAAGACTGAAAAGCTTAGGCTTACATTCATTAGAGAGGCGTAGAGTTAGGGGAGATATGATAGAGGTGTACAAGTGGGTAAGTGGGATTAACAAGGGTAAAATGGAAGATGTTCTGAAGCTCAGTAATAACGAAATAACTAGAACAAATGGCTTTAAATTAGATAAATTCCGATTCAGAAAGGATATAGGCAAGCACTGGTTTGGTAATAGAGTTGTGGATATGTGGAATAGGCTACCGAGTGCTATAGTAGGATCGGGGACGCTAGGGAGCTTCAAGACGAAGTTGGATAGGCACATGGAAGTGCTGGGATGGGTGTGAAAGGGATCTGCCCTGTATGGGCCAGTCGGCCTCCTGCAGTATCCCACTTTCTTATGTTCTTATGTTCTTATGTTCTTCAATGTGTTTCAGATCTTAGAATCATAGGGGCAAAAAACTATGGCATAAATAATGTGGGTAATTTTCTAGAATGGGAAGATGTTGAAAACAATGGCACCACTTGTTTTTTTTTAATTTGTTTATTGAACAATTACCGGGTATTACTTACTGTAAATGGGTTATCATAATCTTATAAGAAAAGCCCCTAGTATTTTTTTCCATAGAAGTAGAGGACAGTAAGGAGTTTTTACTTTCAATGCAGCAAGTGTATGTTATTACCCACTGCTGTGTATAAAAACAAACCATCATTAATTATATCTGGTTTTAGCAGGAATGAACAACTGAGTGAAACATACCCAGGCTTGGCAGTACCCATTGGTTTGTTCTACGAAAATGAGACATAGTTACCGATACAGTACATCGTATTGTATCCTCTTCATCACTGATCAGCTTGTTATTTGCTTGGGCAGTTGATCATGTCTGTTATGCACTGTTGACAAATACTGGGTATGCATGGGTCTTTCAGTGACCAGCTGCAGGAGCTTGTCATTACCTCTTCACCACTGGTTGGCTCTCCACAATATAGTCTACTCAAAATATTACAAGTAAAAGATTGGGAAAAGCAAAAGAAATTGTGTTTTACACTGGATTTGTATTGTACTTCCATGGAAGTCATAATTTTTTACCATATTTAACCAATGGCCACCCAACTAGGGATGGTCAAACCAAGGGAAGCAGGCCAGTGGCCTGTGTAGGATCCCTTGGTTGTTCTTGATAATCTTGTCCAGGGCTATTTTAAAGACCATTACTATACTGTAATTACTGTATTGTTCTCCATTCCACAGCAGGTCAGGTTATTTATTGTGTTGAAACTTCAAAGTCAAGCCAAAAAACTGACTTGCAGAAGCTGAATCTGGCATCAGTCCCATGTATGTTTCTATGAAATCTGCCCTTATTGTATCGTGTTAGAAGAGTTGTTAGTCACTGGTATGGCAAAAATGTGGCTACAGTATATTGTACAGTAGCAACTTTCACTTGCCAAAACAAAATAACCCTTTATCCAATTTTTTAAATTTTTGAAGTGAAGGGGGGAGAAAATTGCACTTACACTTCTGGTGCAATAATGATGGGTCTGGAGTAATTATTATGGTGATGCACTAAAATGCAATTTTACCAATCATTGATTACCTCTGGGAATCATGATCCTATTTTGTTCAGTTCCTACCCTGTAAATGTGCATTGACAATAGAAAGGGCACCCAGCTGCATCAAATTGGACTAAAGCTAACTACCATGCTACTGTATCAGGTAATCATAGTTAACCCACGCAAGCTTGAAAAATGGTTGCGAAACGGTTATGATAATGAGTTACTCAGTTAACACAAACTCTAACACAAGACCCCCTCTCCTCTGTATTTGAAATGTTTTATCTGTACTACGTAACAGGTCAAGCATCTTTATAATGTCCCGATAAAACTAATTATCACAGATTGGATTAGGAGATGAAAAGATTTTTTCAGTAATAGGCTTGCACTTATGGAATGTATGCTCATTAAACCAATTAACTTTATTTTTGCATTAAGTCCCATAACAATTTATAAATACTGTTGAATTTATTGAATCTGTAATATTTACTTTGATCAACAGGGTCATTCAATGGAGGTTTGTCATCATTGCGATCTCATGAATTAGGGTCTTTAGTCATCAAAGAAGCATTGTCTCGAGCATCTGTTGTACCAGAAGATGTTTCAGAAGTTCTCCTTGGCCAGGTAAGTATGTGTTTTCTTTATGTATACAGTATATCTCTTCAGCCTTTTATTTAGTATCATATCACAATCTCTTGCATTTATGCACATAATTTATAATTTTTCTTCAGTTATATTCAGTACAATGTTTGTAAATGCATAAGTACATACATCTAAGAGGGCACTTGGAAGTACATGTACAGTAATGCCCATTCCATTTCTGTAAAAAATGGGTTGTTGATACGAAGGTCATCCAGCCATAACACTTGCTTTTAATTTATCGGGTGACAAACACTTTTTAGTAAAAGAAGAAAATGTGTAAAGAAAACATGATGTAAGAATCATTTATAAGTGTAAATGTGATATTTCTCTCTCAATAATGGGTGGAGCAGGCAGGGTGTATTGCCAGCTGAAGAATGGATATTTTAGTCACAATGGATGTCCTTTGTAACCTCTCGGTTCACACTTTTTATAGATCCATTGTTCATCTTCCCCTATAATTATTTATAGCATAGAAATTAACCAGGTTGAAGTAATGGAATGAATTTATGAGCAATAAAGATTCACCACTTCTTTACTAGCTTAGTTTATGAACAGGGTGTGAGAGTTGTAAATTATAAATGAAAATTGATCCTGAAATATCATTTTATAACAGGATGGATTGGGTGACTCGTCCCTTCCTCACCCAGTTGCATGGTTATACAGGTGCTATCTGTCAGAGTGAACACCATTTTTTTAGGTCACATCTGACTTCTGTACCAGTTATAATATATCTAGTCTAGGTAACAGAAGGTGTAAAATAAGAATGATGTAAATTCTGTTAGTTGTGATGTCAGGGCCTTGTACTCTAATGAGTACCTGTACTGTACATTTGCAATGTTTTACATAACCTTAATTATTTTACTAGTGTGGTTTCTTGGTATTTACTAATTTTTTTTTAGGGCTAATAATTCTGTGTCTCTCATCAGGTACTGACTGCAGGAGAGGGTCAGAACCCAGCCCGTCAGGCAGCTGTTAGTGCTGGTCTTCCTTACACTGTCCCAGCTTCAGTTATCAACATGCTCTGTGGGTCAGGCCTCAGGTTAGAAGAAACAGTAGAGTATTTGCACACCTTTGGGAATGACTATGGCAGACATGTAAACTTTGCAAACTAAAGGTTGAATTGTAACTTAGGTGCAATGGAACTTGAGACCTTGAACCCAAAATGTCTGTACTGTACTTGTATAAACAATACCCAAAAGCCATACTGTATACATGCGTATATAGTACGAGTTTTAAGACCAATTTTTTTTAAAGTAGGGGAGTCGGCATGGATGTGAGTAATACTTTCAAAAGGTTCAAGTTGTGCGTATTGGGGCTAAACTGTTATCTGAAAACATGAAGAATATTAACTACCATAACCTACAATTCTTTTTTTTAGTATTGTCAGTTAGCTTTTTGTTCCAGCTTTGATAATTATTTCTTGTGTGCCTGATACATCTATTTAATTATTTCACCAAATAACTAAAATGACAGGCAGGATGACTAATTTTCTAAAACTATTTTAGATTTCCTATCTTTGGACACCTACATTATCAAAGTCATATTGTGGATTATGGATATTTCATAAAAATGGTGTAAGCAGACTAAACCTCAGTTGTCTTAGCTCGTGGTTTTTTGTTCATTCATTGTTCTCCCACCGCTCGTCTCATATGCTCTCCGCTTTGAGGCTGGGAATACTGTACTGGGGAAGGTTGGTCAGTTTACCCATTTGGATTGTAAGACTAAATGTAGTTGATATGGGGGGTCCTGTCTGAGAGCTGTTAACTTTGAGCTCGGTAACAAAAAGGCATTTCAGAGTTAGTATACCATTTTATCCGTGCCTAGGTCCAAACATATGTTGATGATCATTTTGTGTTTGTCCAGATCTGTGTCTATGGGTTACCAAGCAATAAAGTTGGGAGATGCTTCAATAGTGGTGTGTGGTGGCCAGGAGAGCATGAGTCAGGCCCCTCATGCTATACATTTACGATCACCGGTCAAGATGGGGGATGCTACCATGGTAGACATAATGATGAAAGATGGATTAATAGATGCCTTTCATAACTACCATATGGGAGTTACAGGTAAGGACAAGAATTAGCATTTCATTTAACTGCAATACAACATCCCCAAACCAGCAACTTTGGGACTTTAAAGTTTCTGGAAATATATATTAAGATATGAAAATGGGTATGTTAAAGCATTTTTAAAATGGGGAGTGAGCTATGGGTATTGCTAGAGCCCCAGGCATAATTTTTAACTTAATTTTATTTTTTTTAGTAGCTTCACTTAAAGTAAATCTCAATGTTTAACCCTTTAACTGCTATCATTGTCTTTGGCTAATTTACTGAAATTATGCTATTGTTTAAGAACATTGAAATTTGGCACCATGAATTTAAAGCTGTGCACCAAAAATCTTACTAAGAACTTGGCTTTGTTGCCAGGTTACACTTGTTAATGTAGCCACATCCTCCTTTGCCCACGCTGTACCAGGCAGATTTGTGGGCAATATTATGGTTATTTTTCAACCTGTAATTTTGGGTAGATATACCTGTATGTAACTTTTTTTAATTCAGTTACATGCACATAAATCCTACAAACAGAATGTGAAAAAAAAATAAAAAATAAAAAAAAAGTAAAAAATTATCATAAGGTAAACAACATAAAGGGAATAAACAATTCTTAGTGTGTGAGAGCACACACGAGTGTAGGGGAGTGGGGTGTGAAGTGAGGGAGCTCCGTTGCTAGGCAGTTTCTCTACTGGGCTGCATTGGTATGGTGAACATCAAGGCAGCCAGCATTCTACGGACTGCAACGCAATGTTTACTTAACTTTTATAATTTTTGCTTTTTTTATTCCCTTGTTATTGCTGATTATATGAGACATTTCGTGCAACAACCCTGAAATCACAAACGCAAAAACGGAGATAATGAGCGATAAAAGTTTTGAAACCTAGTCTTTGTCCTAACATTGCCTTAATAGTTAAAAAAATAGTGGTGGTTTTGGTCTTATTTTGAAGGTAAAGGCTAGTAGATTAGGAGAAATGTTATAAAAAGAGGCTACAGTTGCTCGAAAGGTAAGTAAACTATGGAAACTATAACCCCCTTGAGTACAGTGCCACCAGATTTATAAAATATATGCAATTATTTCAATAAAAACAAGACAAACTGTCCAATTGATTGTAAGGTCTGGAAATAATGTTAGATATGGGTTTACCAGTAGTTGGCAGAAATGTTAAAAAAATAGAAACGAGTCAATACAAAAATACCTGTATTGATAATTTGTTTTACATAACAAAAAGAAGACACAGAATGTACTATAAAGACTTCCATTAACTGCAGCTTAATCACTGCTTGTGGGGTGTTGTGGGTAGTATTAATATTGCAGACTATTAGGTCATCATCTGCATTGTCTTCATCTGTATCAGCAGGCAAGTCTATACCGGTAATGTAGTTCACGTGGATCATCTGGTCAGTTAATTTAGCATGGTTTACTGCCACAGAATAGTGGTGTTTCTCAGGGAGACTGATTTGAGACAGGTCAAAGGTCTGCTGGTTGTATATGTTTCTCCTCCCCTTTTGAAGATTCACTTGAAGTGGCCGAAGAATGTCGTAGGTATTTTTTATATTACAGCTTTGGTTAAATATATCCAAATACAGAAAAACATTTGCATCCTTAAAGCTTCCACCATTTACTTTTCTTTTTGAGATTTGATTTTACAGCTCTGAAAAATCCAAGAATGACTCCCTGCACCACTGTAAAAGACCTTATAGCTCTAGCACTTTTAATAAGCTCTGCATACCCATCCTGAGTGAACACCACAGTAGCTTTATTTTTTTCTATATTGCTAAAGGCCCAATCACAATGAAGATAAAGTCTCAGAATCATAGAGATGTGTTCAATGGCCATTATTCTTCCCTCATAAATTTTTATTAAACAAGCTAATATCATATTCAATTTTTTTTCTGGCCCTACAATTATCACTAAAGATAACTAGTTTTGTCAGAGAATTGTCAATAAAAATCAATTATATATCTGTAAAGGCATTTGGCAATTTCACAAGAACCATATTTGTTGACATTTTCATTCCAGTTTTCCCAGATTTTATGCTATGAATTCCAAAATTATAAGTCCAAAGTTTCCTCTTATAATATTGGACAATTGTGGATAATTTTGGGGTAGCTAGGACCTGTTGCAGGTCAATACCAGTTGCTGCTAGTGTCATCAACATTGTTTTTGAACAATTTGAATAATTCCTGGCCACTATGTTAACATTTCTGCTAGAAAACTCTCATCTTAGTATATGAGAAAATGGCATTAAGTGTGTAAGAGCTACCATGATTGATGTTCCTTATATGAGGTTAACATTTGTAGTACTGTATTTATGCATATTTAGGACGAGTTTATAAATTACTCATAATTTGTAATTTTTGAATATTAATATTTAAGTTGGTGCTGTACTGTGTTAAAAAATTTACCTACCAATTACAGTACTGTATGTTTGATTTGTCACTGCAGCGGAGAATGTAGCAAAGAGTTGGAATTTAACAAGAGAGCAGCAGGATATTTTTGCCCTCAAGTCTCAGGAAAAAGCAGAGGCTGCTCAACAAGCTGGCCACTTTGAGCAAGAGATTGTACAGGTGGTAATACCAGGGCGGAAAGCTGCAACAGAAGTAAAAGTTGATGAATACCCACGACCTGGCTCTACTTTGGCTGGTTTAACAAAATTGAAACCATGTTTTATTACCGTAAGTACAGTATTTTTGTTTTTTTTCTTTACAATATCGTATTAAAAAATATACTGTATGTATATGATTTAACATAAAATTATTGAGGATCAGTGTAAATTAAGTGATAAGGCATAAATTACTTAGGCAGAAACATGAAAAACACAAAAGATTGGTTTCTTTCTTTATACTGTACTGTACTGCATTAATATACCAACTTGCCTTGTCAAATTACCTCCATGTTGAGTGTCTTTTTTATGATAACTGACAAAAGTCATGGTAATGTAGTCATTTCAAATTTTTAATAACTTTTATTTTAAACCATTCTTCAAATATATGCTAAAGTGACAGATGCATATGTTATTACAGTCAGTTCTTGTGTGTCTTATGTTTAATTAATGTTCTTATTACAGGATGGTACTGGCACTGTGACCCCAGGAAATTCATCCGGTATTAATGATGGTGCTGCAGCTTTGGTGTTGATGAGTGAGAGTGAAGCTAAACATCGAGAGATCAAACCCCTAGCCTCAGTTGTGTCCTGGGCACAGGCAGGTGTAGACCCTGCTGTTATGGGTACTGGGCCAATTCCTGCTGTTAAAGCTGCTGTGAGTTTATTCTGGTTTAAAAATCAAAAGCTTATACATACTGTAGTATTGGTTTACATTTAAAGAATTTGTATGTCATAAAAGAGGTGTCTGAAGAATAATTGATAAAGAGGGAGTTTGTATAGACACATTTAATGGCTAAAAAGAAATTAAAAAATGTGTACATTTTGTTAATTCTCTTAACAAAATGTACACATTAATCAATTTCTTTTTAGCCATAAAGTGTGAATTTGGGAATAAATGAAATATAGAAAGTGAAATACTGTACTGGTAAATTCTCAGAAATAGATCAAGTAAATTTGGGCGATACAGTAAGAAGGGCATACAGTACTGTGGTATGAAGCACAGGTATTCTTTGAGTGACAGAAATTTGCATTCTATACCAAAAGGTATAGAATAAATTTTGAGATACAGAAGAAAAATTTACATTAAAGGAAAACTCCTCTGGAAGATTCTGGAGTTAAAAGATAATGAGAAAATGTAGGTCTTCCCAATCTCTACAGTAAAATGGCCATAATTCATACCCCTCAAATTCAAAATCACTTGTAATTCATAATGTTTTGCCGGTATGAAATTTTTTAATGTTTGGTAAATTTTTAAAATACAAGACTTAAAAAGCAAACTTGTTAACATTGTAAAATGAAAATGTGCTTTCATTTTGCAGTCAGTAGCAGTTTAAAGACTTATGATATGTCTTTTAAAGCGCAGTTCACTTCTTTTCATAGCCAGAATTCATCTTTATCTGCTGCAATCCATGCTCAGTACAGCTGCAGTATTGTATAGAGTAAACACTGTCCTGATAACATTACTTAGGCATTGGTATTTATGAAAACTGGCATACTGATTAGCTTATGGGTTCTTGCTTTGGCTAATGAATGAAGTGAGGGGTAACTTTGCAGTTTAAGGATTCTGCTTTGTTTTATAACAATGTTTTTAAGTGCCAATGATAAGAACACACTAAAAGGGTTCCAGTCAAAACAAATTCTTCAAACATAACCTAACTACAGGTTTTGTTTTAAGGAATCAGCTTCTTTTTTTTTCTTTTGCTAGAGTATCTCCATTAAAACAGAAATAAGAGGTTACAAATAATGTCCTTTGTGTGATAACTTAAAGAGAAGTGGAGTTAAAATTTAGTTATTAAATGCAGTAAACTCGCCATGCATATAAAAAGGATTGAGTGAATAAAATTAAAAGTTATGAAGATATTGGGAAAAGAAGGAGGGAAAGTTAGATGGGGATCCTTGGTGATGCAAACAAGACTTGCCTTTTGATTCCCTATGTATTGTTTCTGGGTATTTACTGTACCAGGTTTCTTTGATATATAACATTTCTTTTATTACACTCGGATGTGTGTGTTTGTAAAATACTGAATACATTTCTTGTTGTTTACTCTAAAAATAAGCTTTTGGTATTAGAACCATTGTCACTGTTAGAGTTTAACAAGTTTTTCTTTTTTAGTTAAAAAAAGCTGCCTGGGGCATAGATGAAGTGGATTTATGGGAGCTAAATGAAGCATTTGCTGCACAAAGCTTAGCAGTCATCCAAGAGCTTGGCATTTGTATGGAGAAAGTTAATGTAAATGGTGGTGCCATTGCTTTAGGCCATCCAATTGGAGCTTCAGGTAGGAATATTAACAACTGTTGAAGGGTTGCTAGAGTACTACTGTACTAAGGAAGGTTAAAGGCATCTCCCAATGGCCTCGTGTTAAATCTTCATTAAACTGTTCAGTCACTATTTAGGTTTACATCACCTGATCGACTCAACAAGTATGGAAGCAAAGGAAAGAAAAAGTTTCACGTCAAATTAGTCCCAATCATAGTAGCCAACATCTAAATTGCCATCTACTTTTAAAATAAGGCCGTTTGTGTTTCTCTTTCTCACATATATACAGGGTGTCTATAAAGTCTGTGCGCAGTTTAAAATGTTACTAACTTCAGTTCTATATTAGATAAAAACTATGTAAAATGTAATCTCCTCCAACTACAAATCACTACTGATGCATTTTTCCGTATTCTTTCACTTCCCATTCCCCTAGTTACCTTGTACAGTATGTCCATACTGCCTAAGCAAACCCAATCTGATTCCTGCCTGACACTTATTTCACTTTCAAATTTACTTAATATACTCTATCTGTATTTCTTATTCTTTACTTTCAGTTTGCTTACATTATGCTCTCACATACAAAATTTTTCTTACTTCAATTTATTATATTCTGTTGCATCTTAAAAAGTTCTTGGTTCATGACTGTAGGATGATTTATGCTCACCAATTCCTCTGTCCATTCTCTTTCACATTTTTCAATCCACCTATTACTCTCTGGCATTCTCCTACGGTGTCAGTGCATTACTTACCAGTTCATTTGCAGACACTTTCACTTCCTGATATCTGAAGCCCTCCACTTTCTCCATTCAATCCCCATTCCAGTAAATTTTCATTCCCTCTTGCCTCCCTTCTGTACTAATTTTCAGTGCTTTATTTTTGTTTACATTGATTATTAATTTTCTTTGAGTACACACCTCCAAACTCATTCTCTAACTCTCATAACTTTTCTTGTAAGGCTAACTACAAGAGTAATCTGCAAACAGCAGCGGACTTACCTCTCGTTTACATCCCATATTATTATTCGCCTTGGTGACATAACACGTCATTGGCACCCACCTTTTCTGACAGCTTATCTTTACACACACTTCAATCTCCCTATAAAATCTCTGGACAGCATTTGGCAGTCTGATGTTGATCTCATACAATTCTATACATACTTCCCAAATAACTTTTTTTTTTTTTATTATGTGCTCTTCATTGTAACAAAACTACAGTGTCCTGAAGTACAGTAAACTCACTCCAAAAAGTATCTTTATAGGGGGGTCTGATTAGTTTCAAAATGAACACCGCAACTCCTGTTGTCTTGGTAGGGTTGTCAAAATTCATTGTCCTTTGTGTCATATTGTCTCACAAAATTGTAAAGATATTTTTTGGAGTGTACTACATGAATGACATTTATTTTCATTCCTTAATTAATTTTGTTTTTTAGGTTTGCTGTACCTGTACACTGAAATCATTTCAAGTTCTACTTAAATTATTTTTTTTTACATTTTCAGGTGCAAGGATTCTTGTGACATTGCTTCATGCAATGTTACGTCTTAACAAGAAGCGAGGAGTGGCATCTTTGTGTGTAGGTGGGGGAATGGGTATTGCTGTGTGTGTAGAGCGCTTCTCATAGTATATATATTGTTCTAACTTTATAATGACCTTTCTAAACTTTGCCAAGATGCTTTTTGAGCAATCTCATTGTGTAGAAACTATATTTTATTTTTCCAAAAATAAAAAACTTCCTAATTTTTGGAAAAATTAATTTAGCATATTAAAGCTCAAATATAGTGCCTTTAATCTGTCATAAAGCTAGTTTTTAAAACCATTAATTTTTATTAGTTAATTTAGAGGTAAACTCCAGGCCCCTCTTTTCCCTGTCATTACAAGTGCTTTACATAAAATTAGTAAAGCTGAAAACAAATATTTTGGGGTGCAAAATTTTATCATAAATAATATTTTTAAAAAGAATATTAGGAAAAATTTCCCCAATTAGATCACTTAACATGATGTTATACAGGATAATCATACAGCAGTTATAGGGACCCTTCATAGCCTTAACTTCCAATTGGAATGGTAAATGTTGATTTAAGACAACTTTATAAGTGAAGCTTTTAATAAAAATTCCTACAGAGTTTGAACAAAATTAAGCTTGGAGTTTTGGACAAGGAAACATTAAGTTTTGTTCAGTTTGTGGTAATCATTGTTGATGGCAGACAATAAGGTTGAACTTGGTTTGGAAGAAGAATGATCAAGGAACATTTCTTCAAAATTTTTAAACAATTGACTTAGTAGTAGCAGCGGCTTTTAAACTGGGGGGCGCATTTCAATATTTCAAAGTGTGCATGAAAGCCAAGGGAAAGTGATAAACATATCCCCGACTGAATATATTCCCATTTATATAAACAGAGTTATATACACAGAACACTAACTGAAGTTAATTGTATGGATAATTATTGCATGCAAGATAAATAAGGCATGCTCTCTTAACACTGTATCACTGCCTATGTAAGGTACCCCTTGGTAGCCAATTGACTTTCAAATGTGAGACGTTAAGGTACCACTTCTACCAGGTAGCATACCTTCAGGTTTGAGAAGTGTATTTTAGTTTGATATATATATATATTTTTTTTTCACGATGATTATATTAAATACTTTTGATTTTCAGTTGCTTATTTATCAGATGTAATGGTTTCTTGCCCTTGTGTGTGTGTGGTGGTCTTTTTTTTGTGAAAACATGCAAAACTTGTGGATTTTTTCAATAGTAGTATAATATTTCTGTCAATCGTTGTGTTACATAAAAGTATATGTATATCATCTTATATTTAGGTGATGCAATTGAGACGTCACATAAAGCAGGGGCGTAAGTGCCTATTAAATGTTGCACATACATGAGCTCTGGCATAGAAAAGGTGTAAGTGCTCTGTCTTGTGATGATAGGTATTCTGCAGATTGCAGTTGCCTGGTTTCCAAAAATCATCAAACACCATTTTGATGTCTGCTTCTCTGATCTCAAAACATTACTAATTGCAGGTACAAGGGGGGCCCACACATACAGCTGCCACATGCTATGGTGTAAGCTTTGGGTATAAGTACGTATACCAATTGACAGAGAATTGAAAATAGAAAAAAGGGAAACCCGTTATCTCATATTTGCACATTTGGCGCTACCGTAGTTCCCGTGCTTCAATTGTTTGAAGAACGGAGTTATTTGACAATGAGAAAAGTTCATTGGGCTTTCTCTATTCTGTTTCCCTGTTGCTTTTTTATCAAATGCATCGACTCCTTGCCTGTGGTCATTATGTGTTTGAGGTGTAATCTCATAATTTTGGGGCAAAACTATCTAAAGATCCCCCCCCACCCCCAATAGTCACCTTGTATTTTATATCGAATCTATGCAAGCAAGTATTATGAGTGATCGTTCTTTTTTCTAACACATATCTTTGTGAGGCAAGGTTTTTATTGCTTCTTGTTGTGAAGATTTAAGTTTTGTAACAGGCTGAGTGTTGATAGCAGCATGCAGAGTGATCCTTTATTTGAACCCACCAAGATTCAAATGCTTAAGGGTAGGTAACAGTTCCTACTTTCCCATTGAAATCTGATTGTGGGCTTTTATTCATAATCGAGCTTTTGAAAATATTTGATTCACATTTAGGGTACAGTATGTATGTTTTTGTTAGTTTATACAAGATATTTGTGGAGAAGAAGCAGGCCTAACCTTCCTCACAATTAATTTGTGAAAATATTGCATTCTCTCAGCAATACTGTACAAGTTTTGTTTTTTTGTTCTTTGGGGTTCACAGGGTGCCACTGGTTGAAGGTTAGTGTTTGGATGTGCAGCTCCACAAAGGTTAAGAACTGTAGATTTAGAGAGCAATTGAACTGACAATCAAAACATATATTTTTCCACTTTTTCCATACAGGCCTTTTCCTACTATGATGATGGGTGGTTGGACAAGGTATAGATCTGCTAATTCTTAATATTCAATAGCTTGTGGGTTGTCCCACTCTTGCCAGGTTGTTAGCCCACGTAAGATTTGTTCCTCCATTGACAAAAGGCATCTAGAACGCAGGAGTACTCAGATTGAAATTGGAAAATTTGTCATGTTAAAAATAATTTGGTATGAGGTGGCAGTACAAGAGCATCCATTAGATTTTAAACCCTATAGGTGTCAGAAATACATTAGATTTGTACTTTCAGAACAGGTACAGTTTTATGTAGTTAATTTGTTTATTTTGGGTAACAAAACATGAATTCTCATATTTTGTCAGTGTATACTTACAGGTATTTTGAGCAGTTCAATGGATCTTTGCATCTTTGTATGAATGACCACATACTTTAAAAAGGTATGTCACAACATTCCTATGTTTTAAAAAATTCTTTGATTTTAAAATGCTCTTTAATTATTTATTAATTATATTTTACATTTAATACTTGGTTTTCATAAAATGTTTCCGGTGGAAAGCCCAAAATGGATTTGGAGATGCTGTGATATATGCAGTGCTGTGACTGTAATAAGAAAACATGTGTTTTGATGTTACCTGACCGAGATTAATAATTAGTTTCATCTTTTAATCAAGACATTTTGTTCCATGCCCTCTGTGTGTCAGCATAGACATCGGATAAAATGTTTGGGTTACATCTACTTCCTAGTGAAAATCAATAGTAGTTTTATGTCATTGGCACTGGAGTAGCATATTCTACTTTGTTTGGATGGAAGGGTGTTGTCCTGTGTGCCCCCACCAACATTGCAGGGTTTCTCTAGGTACTCCAGTTTCCTCTTTTATTAATAATGGACTCGTGAAGATACAAGTTAAAAAGAAAATCGGCTATTTCTCACCAATTTTATCTACCGGGAGTTGATCATTACATTGACTTTCCATTACATTCCAAGAAAATTGAATTTCAGCTTTTAAGAGAATAGAATAGGTGAAGCTGATGTGGTAAAGTACTAGTCTATTTTGAGATGTTAAAGAATTAACAACTTAATGAGTGAAAATTATAAGTCAGTGTAAGAGATTAATTAATGGCAAGACACATACAGGTATGACAATAAAACAATTGTTGTAATTAAGTTTTGGATAGTTACTCTCATGTTTTATTGGACCTGGCATAGCCCAACTCACTAGGTGCATAAAAATATCTTCATCCATTCATTTATTGGGGGGGGTAATTATCTTTTTAACCTTTGTTTATTGTAAAGGGTTGTGTTATATTAAAGCCATATTAATTAATTTTTTTGTTATTCCATGTTCTTGTCTGTAAGAGCTTTTAAAAATATATTAGTGTATTTTAGGAAGTGACAGTGTAAGTGAGAATTGATAATGTATGTGACTGTTTGTTTGTTGTAGGTGATACAAGTAGTTCTGTATTTGAAAACACTTTCACTACAGTATTACCCCGCTTTACGCGTTTTTTTTTAACGCGTTTCCACGTTTACGCGGTACCCTGCCAGACCCGGAATGCTCACTTTACGCGGTGCATGTACTCTTTTATGCGGAGAGCAGGGTGCGCACAAGGTCACCCAGTCATCAAAACATTACCGAGTTCTTCACCCACCACAGCCGGCCCAAGTCAGTGATAGTGAGGATATGGACTTTGAGGGGTTTGACAAAGAAGCCCTGCAAGCCTCTGTGGTGGATAGTGATACAAGTGAGGGCCAATAATCTGCCCTCTGCCTCGGAACCATCCCCGTGTGCCCAGCCATCTTTTCTACTAATGTAAGTGTTAAAAAACCTAATTTTATTGATATTTCTCTTAATTATTAATTGTGTGTGTGCATACCATCATAAAATTAAGAAGTTATTTTTACTACAACATAGGTATTGTGTCTGAAAAAGTGGAGTTTGATGGTCGGCCCGGTCTCTATTTCAATTAATCCCATATGTTATGTTGTTCACTTTACGTGTGCCTCCGTGGGTTCAATTGACCGGGTAAAGTACACTGTATATGAATTAAATTTTCTTGTAATAAACTATGGAATGAGGTGGGATACATTCCTTGCTGGAATTTTGGGTGTATTTGGGCTGATTTTTCCTACAGAAACTAATAAATTACTAAGAAAATAGGAAATACAGTATATAAATATAATATAAAGCAATAAAAACTACATGCAAGTACTCGCTGAACAAATGAAATACTGTAGAATTCAGTTTAAAGAGCTTCGTGTTTTATGGTATGAAGATTAGGTGTGTGCATGCTCATCCTTTCATGGCCCTTTGTCAACTGGCCACCACCAGATACACCCACATTTTTTTTTTCTTCTACTGAAAATAAAACTATGTATAAACATCAGGAGTAAATTGTGATAATGAATGATTTATTGATGCATCTATGTTTCCCTTTCACAGCCATGTATCAATTGACATGTGTCTGCATGCCTAATAGGTTCTCACGCAGGTTTAATTTTTTTACCTACCTTTGAACAGTACAGTACAGCATTGCAAAAATACAAAACATAATAAAATGTTTTGGTTATAAAAATGAAATTGCTATAAAAGCAAATAATGTGATATGCAATAAACAAAGATTACCTGTACTGTATGTATAATGAGTGCGAATTTGAAGAAATGTGCTGAAGTTGGATTATTGTAGGAGGTTCAGCACGTGCCACTCTGCTGTGAAATAGGTTACAGAGATAAAATATTGAATACAATGAAATACACTCGGTAAATTTGTGTTGAAAGTAATTTTGTTGGTGCTAATGAGTAAATATATTGCAGTACTGACCAAGTTGTGAATATTAAATGTGGCTTTATCTTTGCATATTCCAAGATCAATTGTTTCATTGTGTATGCATTTGTATATACGTGGACAATACAGTACAGGCAGTCCCCGGGTTACGACCGAGTTCTGTTCCTGGGGATGTTCTCAAGTCAAAACACGTAAGTGCATACCGTACATACAGAACAATGTTTAAAATCCTTTAAGTCCTTATATACATCTAAAATCACTTAATTTAAGAGAAAAGAAATAGACAACATACAGTAAATGAAAGTAAAAAGATAAGTCCTAGGTAAATATAATACTGTAAATTTCAATTTTACCCTTGTTCATATATGCGGATGTTCGTAAGTTGGCCGTTCATAACCCGGGGATTGCCTGTACTCTGTAGATGTTTACATTTATTATACAAATTAAATAAATATATTTTAATATGATTAGTCCATGCTTGTTATCTCATTTGAACTTGTCTTCCAAATATAAAGTAGGAGAGATTTATTTTACTATGATAAATTGATGAATTCCATAACACAGTTTATAATTAATTGTAAACTGTTAAATTAGGGTTAATTGGTCGTTTTACAGTACACCTGTAGTTGATTCCTCTGAAATTGAGCTTTCCAGTGATAAGTATAATTAATAACTATTTGCAATTTTTTGGTGAACAGTCATGTGTTAGTTTGTTGTGAAAATGAAAGGTGACTGAAGCCTTTAATCATGTTGTTATTGTTGAGAGTTTATACTGCTATAATGCATTCCCGTAGTTTTATGTAAATAAACATTTTGATGTGCAATCTCAAACTACAGTATTGTTATAACTAAACTAAGAATTTTTTACTTTTTATTAATGCTAATCTTAGGTAATGTAAAATGAGGTAACATTCCTACTCCTTGGGTAATTTTGCATTAAAACCAGTGAATATTGCATTTACTGTTAGTAGTAAGAATATGCAATTATAACAAAATTATGTGTATCTCAATGCCAGGGCCTAGAAAAGGTTTGGCTTCCTGATTTCTAAAAAAATTGAAGGTCAATCTTCCTGGAGGAATAAAAAAAACCCTCTTCCTCCTAAAACCAAATATTCCTGTTTGGATATGAAAAGTTGGTTATCTGTGTGGCATTCAAGATACTAGACATTTTCAGGCCCTGATTGTAATGTGATATTTTTCCATATTTGATGATTTTGTGAAGCAGTATAATAGAAAAACATTTTACTTTACAAAAAGTTTTGCAATTTGCTGTTCATCAGAATTCTCTTTCGTTAGGAATGCAGGACCTGATCCAACCTTAGTTTAGACACCTTTACACTTCATGAATCAATACAACCAGTTTTATAAGCTTGGATCAGGCCCTGGAGTTGTTTGGTTAATGGAAACTGTTTGCTACAGTTGCTTTTATGTTCCGAGATTATTTGGTTAATTACTAATCCTTTAAGAGCCCTCATTAGTTAATATATGGTTATGTAGTGGTTTATGGTTTATAAAGATTTTTTTAAATTAATTTTGCATTTTCTTAAAAGTATTTTGTATCAAAAATACAGTACATGTACTTACCTCTTTCATGTGTGATATCCATATGTCCTGAAAGAAGGTTCATTATTATGAACTTTTCTTTCTCCTGGCAAAGAGCTCGTGAGTGCTCGAGACATTCCAAGACGTTTAAGGATGTTATTTACCATTCAGGTATTTAGTCTTTTAAACAGGCATTGTCCTCAACCAATCATGCACCTCATCCTCTGTGACTAATGCATTCTAGTGATTGTCACTGATAGACTAGTTGCCAGTTATAATTTAAAGTTTTATCCTTAAATCATGTCCACTGGTGTAGGTGACTGCATCTAACATCAATAGACATGCTCATTTCCCACCGAGACATATAAATGTGTATGATGCTACTGCAATTTGTTCTAAAAGTGTAATGTAAACAGAATGAATATTGAAACTTATTAATTATCAGGTAAATAGGTAGGCAATAATTACTATTAAAAGTGAAACCACCAGATTTACAGTACATAAAGTACCACTGCAATAAGAATTTTAGATGGCCACCCAAAATTTCCTATTAAGTTACAAAGGTGGACACGCCCAACTTTTTTTTTTTTTTTGCTGCAACTATAACTCTGCTGAAATAGTTGAGCAGCAATGCGCAACTTTATAAAAGAAGAAATAAACAAATACTGAAATAAAAAATATTCCCTATTTATAAGTAAAACAAAATATAATTGATACAAAAAAGTTAATATTACTACTGAGATTTTGAACAAAATCTATTTTTTGGACGAAATTGTAAGGCTTACCCCTTACAGGATTTTTGGCCAAAAATATTTTTTCTCTCAGAACTAAAATATAATGTGCCTAACTATTTAAGTACACCCAGAATAATACACAAGCACCAAGAAATGACCTCGAAAACCCATAAGTGGCGAGTAATTAAAATATTCTAAAAATTATTTGAACAAGTTATAATCAAGATATCAAATTTTGGTTAACAGATCCTTAAGCAGCACATTCAGGAGTACCTATACTGAAATTTTGAACAAAATCCATTTTTTGCCCGAAAATGACAAAAATTGTAAGTCTATTGCCTTAAAGGATTTTTGGCCAAAAATACTTTTTCTCTCTGAACTAAAATTTAATGTGCCTAACTATTTAAGTACATCCAGAATAATACACAAGCACCAAGAAATGACCTCGAAAACCCATAAGTGGCGAGTAATTAGCATTGCAAAAGTAATTAAAATATTCTAAAAATCATTTGAACATTTTCTAAAAGCCATTTGAACAAGTTATAATCAAGATATCAAATTTTGGTTAACAGATCCTTAAGCAGCACATTAAGTAGTACCTATACTGAAATTTTGAACAAAATCCATTTTTTGGCCGAAATGACAAAAATTGTAAGTCTAAGCCTTAAAGGATTTTTGGCCAAAAATACTTTTTTCTCTCTGAACTAAAATTTAATGTGCCTAACTATTTAAGTACATCCAGAATAATACACAAGCACCAAGAAATGACCTCGAAAACCCATAAGTGGCGAGTAATTAGCATTGCAAAAGTAATTAAAATATTCTAAAAATCATTTGAATATTTTCTAAAAGCCATTTGAACAAGTTATAATCAAGATATCAAATTTTGGTTAACAGATCCTTAAGCAGCACATTCAGGAGTACCTATACTGAAATTTTGAACAAAATCCATTTTTTGCCCGAAAATGAAAAAAATTGTAAGTCTATTGCCTTAAAGGATTTTTGGCCAAAAATACTTTTTCTCTCTGAACTAAAATTTAATGTGCCTAACTATTTAAGTACATCCAGAATAATACACAAGCACCAAGAAATGACCTCAAAAACCCATAAGTGGCGAGTAATTAGCATTGCAAAAGTAATTAAAATATTCTAAAAATCATTTGAACAAGTTATAATCAAGATATCAAATTTTGGTTCACAGATCCTTAAGCAGCACATTCAGGAGTACTATACTGAAATTTTGAACAAAATCCATTTTTTGGCCG